TTTGTTTTCTCTGTTTTATATGTTTTTTTGTTCCACAATTTCTCCATGATTGCTTTTTAAAAAAATCTAGTTGATTATTCATAGTGTACCACTTTCCTTCCTTTATTTCCTTTCTGTATATTTTTTAGTTATTTTCTTAGTGGTTACCTTGGGGATTATGATTAAAATCTGAAAGTTGGGGCCAGCCCGGTGGCACAGCGGTTAAGTTCGCACGTTCCACTTCGGTGGCCTGGGGTTCACCAATTCAGATCCTGGGTGCGGACATGGCACCGCTTGTCAAGCCATGCTGTGGTAGGCGTCCCACAGATAAAGCAGAGGAAGATGGGCACGGATGTTAGCTCAGGGCCAGTCTTCCTCAAAAAAAAAAAAAAAAAAACCCTGAAACTTACAACAACTTAAGTTTGAAAAATGTCAGATTAATTTCAATAGTATACAGACACTCTGCTCCACCCCTCCTCTTTTATATTGTTATCATCACAATTTCATCGTTACATATTGTGTGCTCATTAACATTAATTTATAATTATTGTTTTATGCAACTGCCTGTGAAATAATGTAGGGAAAAGACTTATACCTCAGTTCCTCCTCCCTGCGCCTTGTCCTGGACCCTCACTCAAGGCGGTAACATGGGGCAACTGCAGGCAGGACTCAGGTTGTTTCCAATCTCTCAGGGATCACTGGTCTTTATTACATGGTGTTCAGTGTCTTGAAAACCATTGTTTCATGTATTGTGTCTGTTTGTTTCAGCTATGAGGGTAAATCCAGTCCCTGTTCCTCCATCTTGGCCAGAAATGGAGATGGCGATATTTAAAACAGACATTGACTTGGCTGATGCAGGATTATGATGGGGACCATGAGGTGATTTGAAGGAATCCTGGTGCTGGTGTGCAGAATTTCTCAACTCTTGTGGGAACATCCTTGGCCAGCAGACTTTGCACACATGGATGCTGCCAGCTCTGGTTGCTACTGTCAGGTTTTCCTATCATTAAGAGCTGACTACTCTTTGATATTTTCTGGAAATGTTACCGAACCTGAAGTGAGTTCGCTCACCCGTTGCGCAGCAAGCCAATCTCTGACACCGGGTGTGGTGGAAGAAAGTAGGAATTTTATTTTTGCACAGCGCTGAGCAAGGAGAGAGGGCAGCTAACGCTGAAATCCCAAGCTCCCGGAAAAGCTAAAAGGAAGGGTTTTTATTTGGGGTTTTAGGTAGGGGAGGGGGAGCATATGGCCTTGCTGGTCAGAGCTTTCCCACCAGCCTGTGTTTGGCCTTGAGACACTTGCAGAGAGGAGGGAGCTCATGACCTTGCTGGTCAGCAGCTTTCCCACCAGCCTGTATCTCTTTGCGGGAGGAGATAGTCCAGGTGCTTGTCCTTGACGGTGTCTGTCTCCATGGAGGATAGCGGATTCTGGAGCCAGGAAGCCAGGGAGTAAGCAGGGAATGAGTGTTTTGGTTTTAACCCCATATATGCTGGGTTTAATGTGGGGAAGCTGATATCAGGGTCGATATCAGAAAAGGCTGCTAGCCAAAATCAGGTCCAAAAGTTCCCTCTGTAGTGGGAAAAGATTCATACAGACTTGTGTTATTCCCAGGAACATTCATTGAATGGAAGTGTACCTCCCAACGCGGGGACACGCATCTTCTCAATCACTCGTTTATGTCAAACTTTACCACCTTTCAGCAAGATTGTACACTTTTCTTAAGTCCTGTTCTTCTCCAGACAGATTTATTCCTAGGTGTTTTGTAGTTTGTGTGGCTATCAGGAATTGGACAAATTGTATTTTTTCATCTTGAACTTTTAGTTCTAGTACCAAGAAAAGCTATTGATTTTGTACAGTCCTATATACAGAAACCTTTTCAAATGGTCTTAATTCACTTAGGTTTCTTTTCTTACAGGAGTCATTCAGATGTCTTCGGTACACAACATTTCTTCTGAATATACAGTAGCCCCCCTTATCCATGGTTTGGCTTTCTGTGGTTTAGTTGCCTGTGGTCAACTGCAGTCTGAAAATATTAAGTGGAAAATTCCAGAAATAAACAATTCATCAGTTTTCAATTGAGTGCTGTTCTGAGTAGCATGATGAAATCCCGCCCCAGCCCACTCTGTCCCATGCAGACGTGAATCACCCCTTTGTCCAGCGTGTCCACACTGTATCTGCTGCCCATCCGTTAGTCAGTCAGTAGCCAAGTCAGTTATCAGATTGATTGACTGTCGCAGTATCACAGTGCTGGTGTTCAAGTAACCCTTATTTTACTTAGTAACGGCCCCAAAGCTCAAGAGTAGTGTTGCTGGCAATTCGGATATGCCAAAGAGAAGCTGTAAAGGGCTTCCTTTAAATAAAAAGGTGGAAGTTCTTGACTTAATAAGGAAAGAAAAAAATTCAAATGGTGAGGTTGCTAAGACCTACAGTGAGAACAAATTTTCTGTTTATGAAATTGTGAAGGAAAAAACGTTGTGCTAGTTTTGTTGTTGCACCTCAAATATGTATCTTTAGGAAAAAACATAGTACATATAGGGTTTGGTAATATCTGTGCTTTCAGGCATCCACTGGGGGTCTTGGAACATATCCCTGATGGGGGGCTACTGTAGAGATAATTTTTGCCTTTTCTTTTCTAACGTGTAGAGTTATTCTTTTTCTTGTCTTGTTACATTAGCTAAAAACCTCCACACACAGTGTTGAAACAGTGGCAAGAGGAGTCATTCCTGTTTTGTTCCTGATCTTAATGAAAATGGCTCCGGCATTTAACTACCACAGGTCACACGCCATCTGTCTTTGGTAATCAGGCCATTTGATAATCATGTTCAGTTTCCTTCTATTTCTATTTGACTTGGAATTTAGGTAAGGAACGGGTGTTGAATTTTAGAAAAAGCCCGTCCAAGCACCTGTTTATGTAATCACACGTGTCTGTCACCTGAGCCTCTGTTTCTTCATCTGTGAAGTGGGGATAATGAGAGCCCTTTCCTGATAAAACATCATAGGGATTACCGGACAATCCAAGGAAAGGGCTCTGCTGTGGACTGAATGTCGCGTCCCCACCAAATGTATGTGTTGAAACCTAACCCTCGATGTGATGGCTTTAGGAGGCGGGGCCTTTGGGAGGTGATTAGGTCATGAGGGTGGAGCCATCATAATTGAGATTGATGCTCTTATAAGAGAGACCGCAGAGCCCTACCTCACCCCTTCCACCACGTGAGGAGGCAGCCAAAAGACGACTGTCTATGAACCAGGAAGCAGGTCCTCACCAGATGCCGAATCTGCCAGCACCTCGATCTCAGATTTCCCGTCTCCATACCGTGAGAAATAAATTTCTGTTATTTGTAAGCCCCCAGTCTACGGTACTCTGTTACAGCAGCCTAAACAGATGAAGCTAGGTCGAACCGGGATATTCCCTCATCGCGTTCTCCTTAATTGCATCAATGCAATTGGTTTTGTTGGCAGACAAGTCTCTACTTCCGACCACTGTGCCATACTGCTTGACCATCCCCGGCCTCCCTCCTGAACCCCAGGTCCCAGGTGCCCGCGGCCTCCTGCATGGCCTCCTCTAGAAATCTCTCAGGTCTCCCACACGCACCAGGACACCAATCGGCCTCAGTATCTCCCCCAAACCTGCTCCTTCTCCCTGCACCTTATCTCAGGGACAGCCTCTTTGTCCCCTGGTCTCCAGGACAGATCCCTGGGCCTTTTCCTAAATGCCTCCCTCACTCCCACTCCCTCCGTGGCCCACCAGCCCCACAGCCTGTCCCCTAGGCCTCCCAAGCATCTCTCCCACCTGCCCCCTCCTCTCCTCCCTCCACCAGGCTTTGGTCCAGCTCACCCTCTTGTGCGCAGGTCCCTGGCCTACTGCCTTCCTGGGATCTCTGCCTCCAGCCCTGAGCTGTCCTCCACAGGGCTGCCAGGAGCATCTTTCTACATCAGACCGCGGTCCTTCGGGTTCTCGCCTCTGCTAAGCTCCATAATGTGACCTCAGTGGCCTTGCCTGCTCTGGAGCTGTGCTGTCTCATCATGGACAAGCTGACCCAGCTGTCTGCCCTGGTGTCCCCTCACAGCATGTGTCCCCTGGGCCTGTACTCCTGGAGCAGAGGAGTGGAGGGGGATGGTGAGACAACCTCCATAGTCAGTCCGCCCAGGCCCTTTGGGGAGGGGCTGGAGTTGAGCCTATTCAGTGAATGGGGAGTGGAGTCCAAAGGCGCATTTGCTTTTTGCCTTTCAGTCTCCTTTTCCCATTCCTGAGAGCACATTTTCCTTATAAGAACTGCCCTTCCACACACACAAGCAAGAGACGAGGGTGGGACGGGCTACCCGCAGCTCCAGGGGTGGGCTCTGAGTGGCTTAAACCAATCAAAGGCCGATCCCTCAAGCACAGCGAGTGGTGAAGTGGTGACCCAGCCCCATCCAGTCAGAGACACTGTCAGGGCTTCGGCCTGGGAATGTTGGCCTCCAGCCCCTTCTTCCTCTGGACAATAAGACTTGTAGATGTGCAGCTTCAAACCGCGACGGGGGCTGGCCTGAGGTCAGAGACCACACTCAGAGGAGGGCAGAGCAGGGAAAGCTACAGGGAAATGGTCCCAGAATCCTCTGGACATCAAGGACTTCTGGATCAAACTGTAGCTGAAGCCTATATTAACCAAGCCCATAAATTACCATTTCCAGGTGGACTACGAAACTTTTGCTACTGGCAACTAAAACAAAAATCCTAACCTCTCCAGAGTCCCTTCCTTAAGCTAGACACTAGATAGGTGTTGACATTCAAAATATTTAATGACTCGTTCTAAACCTGCGTCCAAACAACCAGAACAGACTGCTGGCCATGGCAATGGGCCTGGGTCATGGAGGACCTGCTGGACTGTAGGGAGGGTGGGGGCACTGGGGAGGGGCTGATTGGCAGGCACACAGAGAAGCCACTACTCACCAGCCGGCACAGAGGATTTGAGATTTTAGTGGCCCCTGTGGCTGTGTGGACAGTCAAACAAACCGAACAGGAACACTTACAAGGCCCCCCAGATGGTCCTGAAATGAGGCTTTATTAGGGTCTGAATGAGAAATGAAAATTCAAGCAAAACAGAAAGAAAGGCCTGGGACGGGTGACAGGCTGCATTTCCAAGCTGGCCCAGGATGTGAGGGCTGAGGGGGGGGGGCAGGGTCGGGGCAGCCAAGGGGCTCAGGCCGGCGACTTCTTCTACAAGGTCTACTCGGGTTTGGCCGTTTTCTCCTCGGCCATCTTGGAGATGATCCTGGAGCTGATCCTCGAGCCGATCCTGGATCTGGTCCGAGAGGCGCTGCTGAAGATCATGGAAGAGGAGGTGGAGGAGTAGTAGGACTCTGAGGCGATGAGGTTGTTGATCTTCCAGCGGAGGATGTTGCAGGCCTTCATCATAACAGGCAGCAGGAGGCAGAAGATTAAGTAGAGGACCACCAGGCCCAAAAAGATGCTGGCCGACACCTGGAGGCACCGCACAGCAGGTGTGGGTGGGTGGGCAGCCCGGGGCCCCATCCACCCCACAGGGCAGCTCGCGACAGCCACTCACCACGAGGATGAAGAGCGCCCGCGTGGCACTGAGTGGGAGGCCGTGGATGTGCAACAGGAAGGTGAGCTGGTAGTCACAGTATGTGCTCTTGTCCACACCTCTGGCGGGGATGGGGTGCAGGATTGGGGGAAGATCGGCCACCCCACAGGAGGCCCCCGACCCCACCTGGGCCCCATGCCTGGCTCACCTATTGCTCACCAACACCTTGAAGAAGAATTCGGGGGCGAAGATGCTATGGGGAATGGTGTCATGGCATGGGGAGTTCTCCAGACACAGCCACCTGGCGGCACAAGTTCAGGCACTTGTGGGACAAACCTTGCCTGGCACGTGCCAACTGCCGATTTCTCCCTCCAACCCAGAACTCTGGCGAGCCCCCATGAGGCATAATCTCACACCGTAGGGGTCAGGGCCGGGATGAGGGGGCACCGGCAGAGGGGTCGGGACCAGGATGGCAGATACAGGCAGAGGGGTCAGGGTGAAAATAGGGAAAGCACAGGAGGACGTGGGAGTCCCCTGGCCCATCCAGAACAGTCAGAAAAGTCCTCCTGGATGAAGGGGCATCCGAACCAAGGTCTGAAGAGAGTCAGAGGGCCCAGCACTGTGCACACAGGGTCCAGCTTGGTAAAGGTCAGTCCCATTTGAGGAACACAAGGCGGTCAGCGTGGCTTGAGGACGGAGGCAGAAGGGATTGTGGGCAGGTGGGGGTAAGGTGGCCTGCAGCCAGGCCATGCACTCACTCGATGCCCAAGCTCTGGTGGGACAAGATGTTGAAGGCCGGGTCCTCGGTGGTCGTTGCGTTCCTCGTGGTCCAGATGAGGCTGTCGGTCCTGTGCGGGACCGCGGGACCTCAGTGGGGGGGGGGCGGGGCGGGGCGGGCCTCGGCCGCGGGCCCAGAGCGAGGCCAGCCGGTGAGCAGGGGAAGGAGGGGCGGAGCCCTTGGCGGGCGGGGCCTCGCGGCGTGGGCGGGGCCAGAGTCTGCGGGACCCTAGGAGCTGGCGCTGTGGGCGGGGCTTGCAGCAAGGGCGAGGTCTGTGGCGGGAAGCGGGAGGGGTCTGCGGGAGAGGAAGGCCGATGGGGGGTGGGGGCCAGGGCCCACAGGGATTACTTGTCTAGGGGGCTGTTGTAACGGTAGATGTCCTCCTCGCTGTATTCCTTGATGGTGTCCAGGGTGGGCCCGCCGCCCACCACCTTCAGCACGTAGCTGCGGGGAGCAGAGGTGCGCAGGGACTGGCCTCGGTGTCCTGAGTCCCGCATTACCTCTACCACCTACCCCCCTTATTGCCCCGCCCACTCCAGCCACCCCACTCCCGTCAGCCGCTGGCTTGGCCACGCCTTTACCTGCCCTGAAAACTGCCAGAATCTCCCGTCACCAAATCTTGGATCAAGAAGAAGGGGTAGAAGACTGTGGAGTCGGAGAGGGTTGAAGCCAGGAGGAGAAGAAATTAGCTGGGCCCGAGAGGCGGAGGACGGAGAGGGGAGGAAGGAGAGATGCGAGGACCAAGAGGAAGAGCAGAGGCGAGGTGAGCGGGCAGGGAGGGCCAAGTGGTGGGGGCAGAGGAGCGCGAACAGCCGGACACGCACTATCGCGGAAGAGGAAGCAGGGCATCTCGCGGTCCACGTGCACGCAGTCGAAGTAGTGTTTGTTCTGCTGGCGGTTGTACTGCAGCGTGTAGGTGATGTCGAAGGCCAGGCGCTTGCCCGGGGGGCAGCCGATGAACATTGGCACCATCAGGTTACCCTGAGTTGGGGGAGAAGAGCCTCGCGCTGGACACCCCCTCCCACACCCCTCCTCCCACATCCCCCACCACTACTGCCAGGCTCACCCTCACCAGGAGGGGTGTGGTCACTATTATCATTAGAGCAATAGCTGCTCTCACTGTGCACAAGGCACTGGGTGATGTCCAGATGCTTTACATATTCAAATTCATTTAATCCTCATAACAGCCTTGTGTGGTAAAGACTACTAATATCTCCGTCTTAGAGATGGCAAAAGTGAGGCACAGAGAGGTCAAGCCACTAATTAATGATCGAAAGCCACACAGCTGGTAGGTGGCAGAGCTGGGATTGGAGCTGAGACAGGTTGGCTCGAGCTGCGTCCAGAGTAAGACAGAAACAAAACCACTGACACCTGCACCTGTGGAAAAGGCAACTCCTAGGCGGGCTTCATGGGGCCGAAATTGGGCCCGAATTCTCAAACAATAGACCCAGGGAGTGTGGGCTCTATGAGGGAGGGAGAGGCCAGGATGGGGGTCAGGGTCAGGGAGCCCCATGACACTGCCTTCAGAGGGAAGGGCCCCTGGCTCATTTCGGCGGGAGGGCCCAAGGGTTTCACCCGATCGCCAGAGGGACATGGGCATCCAGAGACGGGCCTGGGCCTGACAGCAACTGTGGAAAGGGGTTGGTGGCCATAGATTAAACACTTCCCAGGCTAGGCCTGGGCCAAAGACTTTACCCGGAGGCCACTTGCTCACTGAGAGGTCTAAGGGACGTCTCGGATTCAATCTGACCACAACCCATCTCATTCTTGGCACCTCATCGTTCCATGTTCAGGATACAAGCCTTGGCCTGATCCCGGAAACCTCGCCCTCTCCCCTCACATCCAATCCCTCCAGATATCCTGTCATCTCTGAACTTCAGCACAGAGCCATTCTCTCACTCAGCTCCTCAACGCCTCCGCCCCACCCTTGCTCCCTGCCTGGTCTTCCTGCTGCCCCCGCCCCTCCCAGTCTGTCCCCCAGGTGCAGCCAGAGGGTCCCTGTGAGCACCCGAGCCGCTCCTCTGCTCAGAGCCCTCTCGGGGTACCATCTCACTCACCGCAGCCCCCCTGGGCCTCAGTGATCTGCCCACCGTCGCAACTGTGACCTCGTCTCTCTCCCCTTTCCTCCTTTCTCGCCTTGATCCAGCCACACTTGCTCCTGGCTGTTCCTTTAGTCTGACACAGGAAACATCCTCCTGCCTCCAGGCCTTCCCACCACCCGTCCCTCTCGGCTGTGCCTTTCCACACAGAACGCCGGGGCTCGCTTCCTCCTCTCTTTCAAGTCTTTGCTCACTTTCCCTGGGCCAGGCCTTCCCTGAACCATCCCATGGAGAATGCTCGCCTCCCCCCTGCCCCTTGCTGCTTACTTTTCTCCTAGCTCTCATCATCTCTTAACATACAGCACCTTGTATTTCTCCTGCTCATTGCCTGACTCTCTGTTGTGGGTTGACCTAATTTGGAACAGGGTCTTTACAGACGTCATCAAGTTAAGAGAAGGTCATGCTGCATCAGAGTGGGCCCTAATCCAAGGACTCGTGTCATTATGGGAAGAGGGACATTTGGACACAGACACACAGAGAGAACGCCTTGGGAAGATGAGGGCAGAGATTGGAGTGACACTTCTCCAAGAAGAGGACTGGCAACCAGCAGAAGCGAGGAGAGGCATGGAACAGATTCTCCCTCAGAACCTCGGCCTTCTGGCCGCCAGACTGGATGAGAAGAAATTCCAGTCTGCAGTATTTCCTTATGGCAGCCTTAAGAAATCAATGCCCACCCCCCCGCCCCCCGCCAGAACATCAGCTTCATGGGGACAGAGATTTTGTCTGTTTCGGTCACCCTCCTAACTCCAGCACCTAAAACAATGCTGGCGTGTGGGAGGCACTCAGTAAGCATTGGTGGGACGAATGACTAAGCTTTGGGGCAGGGGGCAGGGCGTGATATCTGTTCCTGCTTGATGCGTGAGACCCCAGCCCCAGCCCCCTTCCCCCTGTAGGCCCGCCTCTGGGGCTGGCCTGCTGAGAGACACTCCGAGCCTTTATTCACCTAAGCAAGTTTGATTGAGGACCTACTGGATGTAAATTCATTTCTTCCCTCCTTCATGCACCCTATTTACAGATTGAGAACCCACTGCTTATCAGTGAGTTCCAGCTTCCAGTTTTTCCAGGATGGGGAGCCAGAGAGGCGCCAAGCCTTCCAAATACACATGCCTCTTGATCTGTAATGCGGGGGTGAGGGGAGAGAGGAGAATCTGAAAGGCCCCAGCCTGAGCATACAAAGGAAGCGCAGCTCAGACTACATCCTACCTTCAGCCCCTCCGTTTCTTTGTCTGTCTAGAAGCAAACATCATTGCCTTTTTTAAACTTAATTTTAGATGGGCAATATGGTCACACGGTTAGTCCCAGATAGTCATTGCCCCGGCAGGGAAGGACCAGGAGGAACATACAAGCTTGTGTGCAATCTACACAACCAGTAAGGCGGCCCTTTCTGGAAACAGGAATGGATGAAAGGCGGGAGTGGATGGGTGGGTGAATGAAGGAGGAAAACGAAGGAGAGGGAAGAAATTATGAACGCGGTAGGATGCCCCCGGGGAGCACTCGGAACCAGCCCTGTTGAGACTCGCCCCAACCCCCACCCTCCTGCACAGGGCCCAGTACCCCAAGGTCCAATACTTGCATGCGCGGCCCCTGGTACGTGTTCTGGAAGCAGTGTCCGGCCGAGCCCACCACCTGTGGGTAGGAGCAGGTGATGACCGCGGCCCCCTGGGCCCGCTCTCTCCCCTCATCCCGCCTACCTCCCTCCAGGCTCGGGGGCGCACCTTAATGAGCATGGAGGTCTTCATGAGATGGTGTCCACTAATGCCCTGGTCAAAGCAAGCCTTCTTATCACTGAGGGTAACCTGGGGGTGGGGGCCGAAAGGAAGGGGTCAGCAGGCTTGCGGGAGCACCCAGGGACGGCTGACCGCGGGCTTCTCAGGGTCCGCTGCCCCCCCTTGGCACCCCCGCCCCGCCTGGTCTTACCCAGAAAAGCACCGAGTTGCGATTGATGAGGAGCTCCTGCCAGACCACGGCCTCAATGCAGTGCGGGTGGGCCAGCACCAGGCCCAGATCCAACCGGCTCCTCAGGTAGAAGGAGAAGCCTGCCGGGGCCAGAGGGAGGGGTCAGGGCCTAGCGCCCGGCCCACAGAAGCCCCGCCCCTCGGATGGGGCCCAGGCGCCCGCCCCCGCCCCCGCCGTCGCCCAGTCCGCCCGTCGGGCTCCGCGCAGGCCCCGCCCACAGACCGCTCTGGGCCTCCGACTTGAACGAGTGCCCGCGGACGCTCAGGAAGATGGAGAAGCGGTAGCTGGCGCCCTTGTCCAGGAAGATGCGCTCGGGCAGCTCGTGCTCGGCCTTGAGGTCGTAGATCTTTTCGTAGCTGGCCATGTCAATGTGCACGTTACCCGCGCTCTGCCAGTTGCTCGCCAGGTAGAAGTAGTAATGCTGGGGGATGGGACGAGGAGCAAAGTCAGCGTCCGCAGAGGGGCACGGAGAGGGGTGTCCGGGCCGCCCCTCCCCGCCTCCCCGCCCTCTCCACGCACGTGGTCCTGTTTCTTGTTCTTCCACCAGCGCCAGGTCGGGTCGTGCACCGGGTCCGCATATGGCTGCAGGGACCGCCGGCACCGTGAGGGGGGCGGGGCGGGTGAGTCCCCAAGCAGGTGGCATTCCCAGCCCCCTTCCTGGCCTCAGTCCCAGCCCCTAACCCAAAGCAAAAGGTGCATACCCCGGCCTGTCCCCAAGCCCCGCTTTCAGCCCAACACCACATCCTGAAAGCCATGCTTCAAAGCCCGGCTCATAGTCCTCAGCCGGCCCCCACTCAGCCTCAGACTCTCCAAGGCAGCGCCGCTCTGTTCCACCCTCCGCGCCCGTTCTTCCAGCCACGCGGGCTTTCCAAGCCTCCTCCATCCCGTCTCGACCGGCCCCGGCCCCACGGGCCGCCGGACGCCCACCTTGTAGTACTTGGAGTGCAGCCAGAGCAGGTAGTAGACGAGGCCCTGATAGACGGCGAGCGAGTTCCTGGTGTGGAAGCCCGAGGCCTCCAGCACGCGCGGCGGCCGCGCGCGGTAGCGCTCCTGGCGCGTGTAGATCTGCGGGTTGGGCAGGTCCCGCAGGCGCATCACCGTGAAGGGGCAGAGGTTGCTGAAGGAGAGCGTCAGGTGGCCCCTGGCGGCGGCAGGGGGACGCAGCTGATTGTTCCGCGCTCGCAGGCCCCTTTCTCCCCTCTGCGCTGCGGGGGCCCCACATCTGATTCAGCCCTGCCTTCCTCCTCGGCCTCAGTCCTGGTGCCCTGGACCTCATCCCAGATGCCCCTGGCCCCAGGGCACTCAAGCTCCTAAGCGGCCTTTCACTCCCCCCGCCCCCTAAATGCCTCCCCGGACTCTCTGCAGGTGACCAGAAGGATCATCACCGAACACAGTAAAATCTGACCATGGAGTCCCTCTCCTTAGTCCCATCATGGCTCCCCAGGCCCCTCAGGATGAAGTTCAAGTTCCTCCCTCTGACCCCAGGCTCACCTGGTCCACCCTGCCATCACAACTGCACTCTACCGGCACTGTCTTTTCTCTCAGTTCTTGAACACCCAATCTCCTTTGCTCCTCTGGGCCTTTGCACATGTGGTTCCCCCGTCTGGAACACCCTTCTCCATCTTACCCCCTGGCCACTTCCTCCTTACCCTTCCGGTCACAGAAGTGCTCATGCACCTCTTCCTCCTGGAAGCCCTCCCTGATGCGCCCTTCACCCAGGTTGGGCCAGGCCCCTGCTTTGAGCTTCCATAAGCCCTGAGCTCCCCCATCACAGCCCGGAGGTTGTCACTAGGGATGGCTCAGCTCCCCACCACCCCCACCCCTGGAGCAGAGCAGTGCCCAGGGCTCTCTGACTACTGCCGTGGTCCAGCATCTTCTCACCCCTGCCGCTCCAAGATGTAGCGGTTGCCCAGCTGCTGGTACATCAGAAGCTGCTCCACGGGCACCAGCCTCTTGACGAGCCGGCCCTGCTGGTCGTTTATAAGGTACACCAGCTGCAGCGGGAACGCAGGGCCAGGTGAGCTGCAGTCAGCTTCCTGCAGCCCCCCCCCCCCCCGGTGTCTCCCCACGGCCCCCGCCGAGCACCTGGTACAGTTTGCTGTCTTCGTAGAAGAGAGTGACCATGGTCTCATTGGGGGCGTGGAGAGAGGACTGATGCATCCGCTGCAGGCTGACGTACACCTCCCAGCCCTCGGACGGGAACAGCTTGTACACCCGGTGGCTGCCTTCCAGGAGGTACCAGATCTGGGGGTGACAGCCAGCTGTGTGTGTGAGGGCACGGGGACCGCGGACCCCACCTCTGCCTCTCAGCTGGAACCAGGTGAGCTCACGTACCTTCTCCCTCCTTGCCAGAACCCGAGCTCCCCCGAGCCCAGCCCTCACTCGCCAGGATACGTGTCTTCCGGGTTTTGGTCTGCTTGAGTTCCGAGGACTTGCCACTTAAGCATTCCTAATCCTGGCCCCTAACGCCCGGGGTTCCTAGGGCTCAGCCCTCTTCTTCCTTCTCACTCTCTGCCCACTGCAGGGTCTCGCCATCCCCTCGGCCTCAGTTTCCCACCACTGCACTGATGCCCACCCCTTTAGGCCCCCAATGCATTTGACTCTAGACCTGGCCTCCTCCTCAGGCTCAGCCTTTAGGATGTCCCCGCTCCATGTGGCCTCCTCTATGACGCCCTCCCTGATGCCCACACGCCCAGCCTGGATCAGGCCCTCCTCTGAACTTCCATGGGCGCTGTTCTCCCCACTGTGGCCCTGACCACTCTGAGCTGTCACTGTCTGGGAAGGAGTCTGTCTTCCCGATGGACTGTGGCCCTGTGAGGGCAGGGCCCAGGGCTGACTCAGTCACCACTGTGTCCCCAGCACTGCGGCAGGCATACAGTAAGTGCTCAATATTTATGAAATGAACAAGCACAGGATGAATGAAAGAGGGCCCCCTCGGGAAATCGGGTGATAACTCTGAGCACAGGTCTGTCACGCCGCTGAGTGGCTTTGGAAAAGACACTGATCCTGTGAGTTCCAGGGTATAAATGGAGCTTCGGCTGCCCTAACCCGGGGTCCCTGAGGGTGTTCCCTCCCCTGGGCCCCTCTACCCTGACAGGGGAGAAGGGAGACTCCCAGGGTTTGGGGGTACGCAGAGAAGAAGTGGGGAGAGGGACAGGGCAGCCCACCTCCTCGGTCTCGGTGACAATCGCCATCTCCCCTCGGAAGGAGTTGACCAGGTACTTGATAGACAGCTCCTTGGGGAAGTCCAGCAGGTAGATGAAGTTTTCGTTGTCATAGCTGCAGGGCAGAGAGGGGAGCTGGGGGCGCCCAGGCCAGGCCCCCAGAGGGCATCTGCTCCCCCCACTCCAGGCCTCGCCGGAGGCAGGAACCGTGCACTCAGTTCTTCACTAGCCTTGTGAGAACATGTACGGGACGCCCCCCACTCCAAACCCTCCGGGCGGCCTGCCCATCTGCAAGCAGGAGCATTCGGCCAACCACCTATGGAGCTGGCTCTGGGCCCCTAGGTTCCTGAGGGGTGACAGGGATCCCAGCCTCTCTGCAGACAGTGCCCCGCCATTGCTCACTTAGGCTGCGTCCTCACAAGGGGGCTGCCACAGTTTTCAAAATCAGCTTCCCCTATCCTAGTCCTGGCCACCCCAGCAGCACTTCCCCCATCACAGTCCTGACAACTTCTGGACTCAGGCAGCCTCTAAAAACTCGGGGACTTCAGCCCCCGCCCCCCCCCCACTCTGCAATGGGGCTGGGGAGGCAGACCACGCCCCGACCCGTACCTCTGCAGGAGGAAGTTGCCCCAGATGAACAGCATGTGGTTGTATGGGTTGTAGGACATGCCCTTGGGCACCATAGGGAAGTTGGTGTAAGACTCTGTTCCTAGGATCATCAGGAACTCCAGGCCTCGGGCTGGCCGGGCAGAGGCAGAGGGGACACAGCAGTGAGGAGGGGCCACCTGGGCCCTTTCTCACCCCACCCACCTCTGAGACCCCCTTGCCTTCCCCTCCTACCGTCAGGGATGAATTCCGGGATGGTGTAGAGGATGGCCAGGTAATCACTGACTATGGGTGGGGAGAAGACAGCAAAATCTCCTGAGGCCCTGAGCTTCCATAACCTGAAACTGGGCAAGCCACGAGGTTCCCAACTCTCTAAAAAACCCTCCAATGGCTTCCCACTGGGGTCTGTTAGCCCTTAGAGTTTCTGTGTGTGAATTATATCCTCTGAGAGGATAGAGGCTTGGTGGTAGGGCACAGGACTTGCTTCCTCTGATTCCTTGGCTGGGGAGTGCAGTGCACAGCCTCTACAACTGTACGTGGCAGCCCTGTTCTCACTTCAGGTAAAATCAAATCAAATCTCCTTATTGTGAGCCACAAAGCCCTTCCAGATCTGGCTTCTGCTCACCTCTCCAATCTCGCTCCTTCCTCCCTCCCCCTCTGTTCTGGTCACATGGACTTCCTCTCAGTTTCTCCAGCCCACCAAGCCTGTTTTCCACCACTACTCCTTACCCAGGAGTGACATGAGCAACAGTTCCTCCCACTGTCTGCTGGGCGCAGACCCCACAGGATGGACACGCAGTTCACATCCTGGACTCCCACCCCTTGGCGCTCAGCCCCTCGTGGTGCCCCAATTACCCAGGTCGTAGCTGACCACCTGGAAACGCTTCCCGGCGGCAGGGTCTTCGATCTCCACCAGCAGCAGCAGGCGGTGGTGGTCCTCCATGTATATGGCCCAGGTTATGGAGCAGTTGACAACTGGACGGGGAAGAGGGCGGTCCGGAGATGTCCTCGGACCCCGCCCCTCTCCACCGTCTCTGTGACTGCCAAGTCTGCCCCTGTAACGCTCCACCCCTCCCAAGACACTGCCATCCTTTCCCGTCACCTCTCCCCGCTTGCCCTGCTCTCCCACCTGCTCGAACGCCCACCCGCCGGCCACAGACCCCTCTGGGAGACGGGTACCTTGTATCCCTTGGCACACGGACTGCTTCCTGGGCAGCAACTCGAAGGACACGCGGCCATCTGGGGAGCAGGGCAGGTCCACACTCAGGCCCTTCCCAGCCCGTCTGGCACCCCCTGCGCCCCGCCAGCTATCCCACTGTCCAGGGTGGAACACTGGGGCCTCCCTGCCGGCTTAGTCCCTGGGATGCCAGGGAGCAGGTCCCACCCCCTGGCTTGTCAGTCACTCACATCTAGCCTATCAGAGTCTGTCTGTCTCCGCTCAGGTCTGGGCACGTGACCCACAATGGGCCAATCAGAGTGCACCCTGGGATTCCTGCTAGAGTTAATGGGGAAGAGGCTGCTCCCATTCTCTGGAGACTGGGGGGCTCAAACTGGTGGGAGATGTGACCCTGAGTTCCTGGGAGCCATCTTTAACCCCCGTGAGAGGAGTATCTACCTGAAAACGAAGCCAAATCATAGGGCTCATGATAATAAACCCTTTATAGCACCCGCCATGTCCCCAGCACCGTCCTAAGAACTTCCCATATGCCAACTTATTTAATCTTCCTGTCCACCCAATGAAGCAGGTACTACTGCTATGAGCCCTATTTTGCAGATGAGGAAGTGAGGCCAAAAAGAGAGGTTAAGTGTCCGTCGAAAGCCACAGGTGACTTAAGTTGGGTGTGTCGGAGAGGTTTCTCTCCAGACCTGTGCTATAATCGCTATGCTATACTACCTTGCCAAGAGATAGACAGAGTTCTGATGATATACCCTGTGAGCCCCTGGATCCAGCCATGCCTGAAGTTGAAATCTGGTCTTTTCATTTATATAAGTCCACAAATTCTTTATGCCTAAATGATTTTTGAATTGGGCTTCTGCTCTTTGAAACCAAACACATCATGAAAGATACATAATAGACCCCAAGCCCTACCCCTACACATGCATAAACCCATCCCCACTCACAGGGACAACCTCCAGCCTGGGATCCCTCCTGAAGGCACCTGGTGAGGGATGAGGGCCTGAGGTCAGAATTCTTGGAGGTGAGAGGGTATGGAGGGGCCCTCACCCTTACCTGTGATGGTCCCAAAGTGGACATAACCTTCGTTCTTGCCAGTGGTGAGGGCCATTATGTACTCGGAGCCGTTGCTATGGAAATGCACAGGGCATAGTTTCTTGATGCACTCCTTGGCCAGGACACGAACCCAGCTCCCTGTGGGGGGCCAGCATAGAGCCTCAGGCCCAAGCATTTGGACCTGGGACCTTGGCCCCCCAACCACATTTCCCCGGCCTTAATGAGCCTATTACCTGTCCTCTCCTGCTGGAGCAGCTGTTCAGGGTGGTGTCTGAGGGGCCCTTGGTATAGGGCCCCAGCTGCCTTTGAGAAAAGCCTGCTTGCTCACACTCCATCCCCAAGGTTCAGACTGGGCTGACCCCACCCTTGCATTCCCCTGGCCAGAGTGATTGGTTCTGAGCTGGGCATGTGTCCAAACTGGGCAAGTCCAAGACAGTCCCAGCTTGCAACCACTAACAAAGAGATGATCTTTCCTGGGGCCCCTGAGGGCATAAAAGTCTGCAGTTGCTGGGGAAGGGGGGAGTCACCATGGCCACCACAAGGAGGGGGCTGTCTAATAGCTACAGTGAGCCCCTAGATCCAACTATGCCTGAAACCAACTTGCTCCTGGGGTTTTCAGCTATCTAAGCCAATAAACACCCCCTTTCTTTGGCTTAAGCCCATTTTAACTTGGTTTCTCCCACTGTCGAAGTGCCCTCAGAAAGAAAGGGAGAAAAATGGGGCTGTCGAGAACAGGCACTAACTAATGGAACATACATTACAGTACCCATTTCTGTGACCCTGTAAGTCTGAGTGACCCCATAAGCTGTCTAAACGACATCGCTCATTTAGGTGGGGGGAAAACTAGGACTTGGAGGGCTTTGCTATTGTTAAAAGATGGGGATGAATCAGAAGTCTCTCTTTAGGGGCCGGCCCCGTGGCTGAGTGGTTAAGTTGGCACGCTCCACTGCAGGCGGCCCAGTGTTTTCTCGGTTCGAATCCTGGGCGTGGACATGGTACCCCTGATCAAGCCATGCTGAGGAGGCGTCCCACATGCCACAACTAGAAGGACCCACAACTAAGAATATACAACTATGTACCAGGGGGCTTCGGGGAGAAAAAGGAAAAAAATAAAATCTTAAAAAAAAAAGAAAAAGAAGTCTCTCTTTTTCCTCTCTGATCAATCTCCTTCACAGCTTTGCTTCTCCAGTGTCCCGTCCCTCTCTCTCTCTGTCTCTCTCTCTCTGACTCTCTATGCCTCTCCTCCACCCCCCAGATTTCTCTCTTGGTATGCCTGTCTCTGTCCTTCTGACACTCACATGTGTGTGTGGGTGCACGCGTGCATGCTGAGTCTCTCTCTCTCTGCTCCTTCCCTTCCCTCTCGAGCCTCCCTCCTCCCCCAGCTGGTTCTCAGTACCTCGGAAGGTCTGGGAGAAAGCCTCACCCCAGCGTGCAGAGGGGAGAAGGCCCTGCAGGGAGGGCAGGGATGATTCAGGACCTTGGAAAGTTCCCTCGACACCCTCCCCCCTGCCCCCGCCCCCGCCCCCACGGCAATTCCAGTCCCAGGTGCCTCCAGTGGACGGACTCGCTGAGGCGCCCTCCCCACCTGAGATGCCACGGCCCCTCACCGCTGCCACGGTTGCTCTCGTGGAGTGTGATATAGGTGCCCGTGAAATAATAGACGAGCTGGTTCTGCCGGATGAAGAGGATGCTCTCAGTGGCGATGGCGTCGTAGATGGTGGCGGTGAAGTTGGGGTGGGGGCAGTAGAAGGAGCCTACCCAGCAACTGTCGATGCTCAACTGCAGGCGGGCGGAGCCAGCGGTGAGCAGGTGGCCTTGGCCTCAGCCCCCACGTCCTGCCTTGGGGGGAGGCACCTGCTCTGACAACTGCTCAGGAGGGACACACGCAGCTGTCCCCAGGGTGCCCTCCCTGTTCACCCTGAAGCAGCAGCTTGATGGTCAAACTTCCCCACCATGGGCCAGGGCAGCAGGCGACCCAGGCTGGAGCCAGCTGGGGCTCTGGGTGCTCCCTAGAGTTGGGCAGTGCACAGCAGTACTCAACAGTGCTTGGCAGTCCCAATTCCCCAGGCCGCACTCAGGATAATACCCACGTGGATCCAAAAGAGTCCACGCTTGGCCCAAGGCGCACTCTTAATAATCCCATTCTACTTAGAACACAGTTGGCTGTCAGGCCAACACCGTCTGAACTCACGGACCAACCGCTAACCCTGGCAATATCACGAACAGTGGGAAAGCACCATCAGTGAAGGGTTCTTGCCTAAAAGATTGAATCTAAGTTTTATCAAGTTTCTAGAGCTCCATATTCCAGCCTCCCTATTGCCTATAAACTATCAGTTTATACTGACAAGCTATCAGTTTATAGGCAATATAGGGTGTTAGGGACTGAACTGTGCTCTCCCCCGACCCCGTAATTTACATGTTGAAGCCCTAACCCCTGTCGAAATTAATAAAAGGAATCTTAACGAAATTGGAGTGGGGAGGCCTGTAGGGGCAGCTCTTGTGCCCTATCACACGTCATCAATTACTCCAACCAGGAAGGGAAGTGTTCTCACATCTTGGACAGGAGATAAAACTACTTTACTGCCGAAGGAAGATTTCTCTCCCACCCAGCAACAGCCCAGCCAATGAGAAATGCAGGAGCTCAGCCAATGAGAAACACAGCAGCTCAGCCAATGAGCAACACCACAGCCCAGCCAATGAGAAACACCACAGCTTAGCCAATGAGAAATGCCATAGCCCAGCCAATGAGAAATGCTGCAGGCCAGCCAATGAGAAACACCACAGCTCAGCCAATGAGAAACACCACAGCTCAGTCAATGAGAAACACCACAGCTCAGCCAATGAGAAACACTGCAGGCCAGCCAATGAGAAACACCACAGCTCAGTCAATGAGAAACACCACAGCTCAGCCAATGAGAAACGCTGCAGGCCAGCCAATGAGAAACACCACAGCTCAGCCAATGAGAAATGCCACAACTCAGCCAATGAGAAACACTACAGCTCAGCCAATGAGAAATGCCACAGCTCAGCCAATGAGAAGCCATTGCCGCCCTGAACTGTTACTTTCCCCCAATGGACTTCCCCTTAGAACAGTCCCTCCATATTGCCCTTTTTCTGTGTAAAAGCACCTCTGGGCAGGCCCAAGGGCTCAACGGTTAAGTGCCCATGTTCTGCTTCAGCGGCTGGGGTTTGCTGGTTTGGATCCCGGGTGCAGACATAGCACAGCTTGGCACACCATGCTGTGGCAGGCGTCCCACATATAAAGTAGAGGAACATGGGCATGGATGTTAGCTCAGGGCCAGTCTTCCTCAGCAAAAAGAGAAGGATTGGCAGCAGATGTTAGCTCAGGGCTAATCTTCCCCAACCCCACACCCCAAAAAGCAGCTCCCCTCCTTTGTTTTCTGGATTCACCTGTGGTTCACCGTAGCATGCACCTCCTCAATTGCAATTCTTTTGGTTAGTCCCAAATAAACTTATTTTGAGATAAAATAACAGGTAAATTTGCTTTTCAAGTTGACACACCCAATGTGACTGTATTTGCAGATAGGGCCTTTAAGGTGATAATTAAGGTCCCATGATGTCATAAGGGTGGGGCCCTAATCCTATTGGACTGGGGTTCTTTTTTTTAAAAAAAGATTTTATTTTTTCCTTTTTCTCCCAAAGCCCCTGGTACATAGCTGTGTATTTTTTTTCAGTTGTGGTCCTTCTAGTTGCAGTATGTGGGATGCCGCCTCAGCATGGCCTGATGAGTGGTGTCATGTCCATGCCCAGGATTCGAACTGGCGAAACCCTGGGCCACCAAAGCAGAGTGTACAAACTTAACCACTGGGCCACCGGGCCAGGGACTGTGATTCTTATATGGAGAGGAGGAGCAGGCAGGCCAGCCCCGGCGGTTCAGCATGCTTGGCTTCGCTGGCCTGGTTTGGCTCCCGGGGGCGGACCAACACCATTTGTCAGCGGCCATGCTGTGGCAGGGGCTCACATACAAAATAGAGGAAGATTGGCAACAGATGTTAGCTCAGGGAAAATCTTCCTCAGCAAAAAAAACAGAAGAGGAAGAGACATCACAGGTGAGGAGAGAGGCCTCATCAGAAACCAACCCTGCTGACCCCTAGGCCTTGGACATCCAGCCTCCAGAACTATGAGAATACAAATTTCTGTTGTTTAAGCCACGTAGTCTGTGGTATTTTGTTAGGGCAGGCTGCTCAGACTAATACACGGGGTCAGAGGCACAAGTTAATGATTCCACGAAGAAGCAAGCAGCTAAATTCCATAGGACAAAAGGCCTGGCTTCTTAAATTGCCTGAAAAAAGGGTGGTTGGTTGGGAGGAACAGACTTACAGGTGAGAAGACCATTAAAAGACTTAACAACCAATGCAACATATTGATCCTGATTCAAACAAACCAACTTTAAAAGACATTTTTAGATAATTGGGGAAAATTGACCATGGCTGGGTTAGATGATATTAAGGGGTTATTGCTAATTTTGCTGGGTACCATAATGGCATTGTGATTTTATTTTTTAAAAGTCCTCATGTGTTAGAGATACTTCTTCGAGTATTTCAAGAACTTACAGATGAAATGGTATGATGGCTGAAATTTTCCTTAAAATACTCCAGGAAATAAAAAAAATGATGGCCAAAAAAAAAAAAAAAAAGGAAAATGCTGATAATTATTGAAGCTGGGTTCATCATACTATTCTCTCTACTTTTGTGTCAGATTGAAATTTTCCACCAAAAAGTGGAATTTTCCATTAACTTTTCCAATAAAAAGTATAAATCAGGGGCTGGTTCCATAGCCTAGTGGTTAAGTTCAGTGCACTCCACTTCGGCAGCCCAGGTTCAGTTCCTGGGCACAGACCTATACCACTCATCAGCAGCCATGCTGTGGCAGCGACCCCCAAACAAAATAGAGGAAGACTGGCAGGGGTGTTTGCTCAGGGCCAATCTTCCTCAGCAAAAAAAAAAAAAAGAAAGAAAGAAAGAAAGAAAGAAAAATCAAAGCAAAACACTAGGATCTGCTGCTGAGGGAAATTTCATCAAGTTAAGGAGAACTGAACATTCTCACTTCTCCTACACTATTCAGCACCAAAAGAGGGCCCGTGCAAATGTTATTTCTAAAAAAGTCTTGCAATCCAGACTACAGAGGCTGTTGCTGTGCCTGGTGAAACTACCCTGTACCCTCTAAGTCTGTCACTTTGGTTAGCTGTCATACTTAATGTGTTACCCTGTTAATGTTGGAAGTGATGCCTCTGTTTTCTGGAACAAATACTTGGAAATTTTCTTTGTGAAGCTAGAAGAAGATCACCACCTTCCCCTCTTTGCCCACATATGAGAGGAGAGGGAAAAAAGCTGTGAGTCAGCTGGACTCCTTATTTGAGCAAAGTTTGAGACTTCTGACTCGTTTAACTCCATAAGCAGCAGGTTGGGTTTTCCTGGCCATGACTTAGTCCAAGTGGGCAAAAGGTCTAAGCCACACCAAGTGGAAGGAAACGTGTGATTTGGGAGTTAGGGCGTAATGGCAAAGATCTTTCCCACTGAAGGTGGGCCTCTGCCCACAGAGAGGACACAGCCTCGGCCGTTCCAGAGTACAGGGCTGTTTTGAGCATAAAGTCCATACAGCAGAATCAGGTCCAAGAGATGAAGAGAAAGAAATTCAGTCTTGGTGACATTGTTTGAACTCCTGGGTCAAGCTGGACCTGAAGTCCTGAATTTTTTTTTGGTTATATGAACCAACAAATTTCCTCTCCCACTTTTGGCAGATGGCTAGTTGAGCTCCCAAATCCATTTCCCCCATATTCTTTGGTAAGTTAGCTTTAGCAAGGCATGCACCACCCAGGTAGAAATTGTATTTCCCAGACTCCTTTGCAGTTGGATGTAGCCAAGTGACTGACTCCTCACTAATGGAATGTAAGTGAAATTTGCTGAAAAGAAAATAGCTTGCCCTCCACTTCTGCTCTTTGCCCTTCCCATTGGCTGGAAGATGGATGTGGGCCTGACCCAGCTCCGACCACACAGATGAGATCAACACCTGGGGCCTAGAGGATGGCGAACCAGGAAAACGGACAGGACCTGGGGTCCTGACTTCTGGACTGTGACGAGAATGAGCAATAGCATCTATTTCAGCTGCTCCCTTTCAGGGGTCTCTGTTACAGCATCTAAACCTGACCCACGCAGGGCCGTGCAGGGGGAGCACTCCTAGGGGCAGTCGGGGAGGGAGCAGGGAGCTGAAACGGGAGGAGGAAAAGAGCGGAGACAGCAATGTGGGAGAAATCCCCGTGATTCGAGAATGAGAGGAAACGGGCTTTTACTTGGGAGGGATGGAAATTCTCTGGAACCAGGTGGTGGTTGCACATACGAATGCACAGTAGTAAATAGCACTAAATTAGTCACTTTAAAATGGCTAATTTTATGATTTTCACCTTGATGAATCTTTGTTTAAAAAAGGCACAAGGATCAGGATGCCTGAAGTTCAAACGGAACTTCTTGTTGCTGTGACAAGAACCCCCTCTCTGCCCTCCGCATCTCCATAGCAGCCGCGCGCCCCCTGTGGGAGGGTTTGGGTCCAGGGCTTGTGAAAACTGAGCGATGTCTGAAAGACTCGCCCAGGACGGAGGGAGCTGGCACAGGACAGGGAGAGGGTCCGTGAACTGAACAAATTCAGTGGAACCAGGAATTCAGAGCTAGAGGGAACCGGGAGAGCATTAATCCACTTGGTTCTCAGAAGTCATAGGGGCGCTTTCCACCTGGGAGGGAGGAGGTCCAGGCAATCTTATGGGGTTGCTGTGATGCAAAATTGTTATCTCGGACACAATTAACGACCAGCATCTCCTTCCCCCCAACTTGTGGCAAAGCTACCCTGACTTCTGGGGAGCGATTCTTTCTCTGCTTCTTGTCGTCCCCGCCCTCCTCATTAGGAGGGAGTTTACGACCTGTGCTAAGCCAGCTGGCGCATCCCATGATCTGGTGACACATGACCCAAGCTGCACCAATCAGGACCAAGGAAATAAATATCAGCTTTTTTTTTAAGCTATTTAGGAAATAGATGCTCCCACCCTCTGGCCTGCAAGTTGGGATGATATGAGCCACTTTGAGGATGGGGCTTAACCAGAAGAAGAGGAACTGAAAGCTGGAGTCTTCATTTGAGCCCCAATCAAGCCAGACCTGAAGCCTGATCTGTGCCCAGGCTTTGCTGACAGGTGCGCCTACTAAATCCATTTCTCTTCTTAAACCAAACTGGGCCGGAATTCTGCCAACAGCTGCACCAGCTCAAACGTGTTTCAGTCATTCACACCAAAAGAACCTTCTTCAGACACTCCTTCCCCAATTCTAATAGAATAGATTCACAAGGCCGAATTTGGAGCCCGAGGTATATTGCAGTTCAAAATATTCCAGCGTTTACAAGGTAATGTGGCACATATATACCATCCATGTGTAAGCCCTAAGCAGCACCCCATAATCAGACCCCTAATCTTTCTGCAGGGCGGCATCCGAATGTGAAATGCAGAATATCTAAGTGGGATGCAGAAAGACTACAAAGAGCCTTTGTTAGTTCGGGTCAGGCTTTCTCGACAAATAGGTTTCAGTCCCAAACTTGTGAAAACACAGTTTTCACAGCTTTTTGGATTCCAGAATTACAAACGGCAGACCGACACACAATCACAGCTGTGACTCCCACGGTACAGTCGCATTCTGGGTCTGCCGATATTGACTGACACTGTGCTCACAGCGGTCCGATGAGGCGAACAGAAACGTCACTCCCGTTTACGGATGGGGACTCTGAGGCCTGGGTGGGCGAAGTGACTTGCCCCAGGTCACGGGCCAGGAGGGGGCAGAACCAGGATTTGAACCCAGGCTGTCCGGCTGCTGTCTGTCTTTCCTCCATGCCCTTTGCCCCTCACGGGGCTGGAAGGTCTTTGGGGACCCCCTCTGTAGCCCCAGGCCCCACCCCGTTTTAGGGGCTGAGGCCCAGGCCCTTCCAGAGGCCCCAGCCCCTGGTCTGTCCCGCCGCACTCACCTCCACCAGAAAGAAGTCCTTGAAGCTGGTGTCGGTCAGGAGGATGGACTTCTCCTCGGGAATGCCGCCCAGGATGAGCACGGGCGACTGGTCCACCGTGTACCACAAGGGCCTCGACGGCACGTTCACAAAGTACCGCGGGATCAGATGGAAGAGCTGCGGGGGAGGGGCGCGGGGCTGCTCAGCCCTCTCCGGCCTCCATGGGCTCCGGCATCTCATTTGGGGTAAAAGCCAAAGTCCTCACCTGACACAATCTGCCCCGTCACCTCTCTGACCTTAGCCCCCCACTCCCCCCTGGCTCCCTCACTCCAGCCACATGGGCCTCCTCTCTGCTGTGCAGACTCACCAAGTGTGTTCCCACCTCAGGGCCTTTGCACTGGCTGTTCCCTCTGTATGGAATGCTCTTCCCTGGCTTTTGCACGATTCCCTCCTCTCCTCCTTCAAGGCTTCACTCAAGTATCAGCCTTCTCCGTTATGCCTTTCTTGACCCCTCCACTGAACAGGGCAACCCCCTCCTGCACAGACCCAGCTCCCCTCCCTCCCGACTTTCTCCCGAGCACTTACCACCTCTTAGCCTACTGTGGAATTTACTCGATTTCCCATTTACTGCTTTGGTGTTTGCCTCTCCCACTAGAATGTCAGCTCTAGGGGGGCAGGGCTGTGTGTCTGTGTGTCACTGTTGTGTTCCCTTGGTGGCACACCGTTTGCCCGGGAAGAGGCTGCTGCTTGAACGAATGAGGGAGTGAATGAATGCACAGTGATGAAGAACATGGGTGCAGGGGTCGGGCTGACCCAGCTTCAAGTCTGGGGCCGTATGTACGTGCAGAGACTGGGCAAACGGCGCCAGCCCTTTGGGGCCTCGGTTTCCCCTCTTTACAATGGGCCCCTGGGCGCGCCTTCCCTCACACGGTCACCATCATGCAAGACCGTCAGGAGAGCAGTCGCCCTCCCCGGGGCCTGGCGCAGTACGTGCTCCGCGCGGGGTCCGCCCCAGCCCGCGGCCGCGCTCACCTCATTTCCCACAGTGAACTGGGGGGTGTCGCCTTGCTGCCTCTGCAGGAAGCCGTTGATGTTCACCTGGAACCTGGCGCAGGCGTGGGGCAGGCACGGCGACGGTCCCGGGGTCAGCGCTCCCGCCGCGGCCCACAGCCATCCCCGCTCTGTTCCCTCCCTCTGGTCTCCCAGCTTCTTGGGGACCTGAGGTTGGGACGTCCCTCCCGGAGTCTACCACCACCCCCCACCCCCGCCCCGGGCTTGGGAAAGGGCACCTTTGCTTGGGAACGAAGGGCCCCAGGCCGTTGCTGCTGACGTCCACGCGCATGAGCACGCTGCCGTTCTTGACGGGCATGGGCGTGTACCAGCTCATGGCGCACACCTCCTCCGTGGCGCAGCCCCCTGCGCGCAGGCACCGGGCCCTGAGGCTGCGGGCTCCCCGCGGCTCCCCCAGGCCACAGGACCCCGGGATCTCCCTGCAACTCCCCAGGCCCCCTCTGCGCCCCGGACCACACTGCAGCCTTTGTGTGGCCCCGCCTAGGCCGTGGAACCTGCTGGGGGCTCCCCGTGCCCTCCCTCCAGTTCGTAGACCCCTCTGCGGCCCCCAACACCACCCACCTCCCCGCCAGGCCGTGGGCCCCTCTGATGACCCCAGCCTCCCCTCGAGGTCATGGACCCTGCTGGGGCCCCCAGCAATCCCCCAACACCTCTGCCAGGCTGCGACCCCTCAGGGTGCCCCCAGGCCCACCTTTGTTGGGGAAAGGAGCCGCCTCCATCTGGATCTGCAGCTGCTCTATCTTCCAGTGATGGAAGTTGACTGGGGACTGGAAGGTGACCAGCACCACGGGCTTCAGCCCCGTCAGGTGGCCCTTGCGCACCAGGGCCTCGGAGGACTGAGGGCAAGATGGCCCCACAGACGTATCCTTAAGATAGCCTCTGGGTCCCCCTGCCTTAACCCCACCTTTAGTGGCCTGTCTTCCTGGGCTGGGTGGGGAGAACAGATTCTCCACCAACGGAAGGTCAGAGAACCTGGTGCAGGTTTGGGGCTGGGGTGGGGGCTAGGCCACGGGAGGGGCAGAGGGGCTGTGGAGGGAGTCAGGAGGCCTTCCTGGAGGAAGTGAGTCCAGAGCCAAGGTCTTCAGACAGAATTTGGATGTAGGGAATGCACAGGGAAGTGGGGCACGAGATGCGCAAAATGTGAGGTGGGGATAAACCCAGGACCCGGAACTGCCAGGAGCCTCTCCCCTCACGGCAGCGATTCCTGGGCCGCGCTTGAGGCCTCCACCCTCCCTGCAGAAGTTAGACCCTCTGCCACCCGCAGCGGTCAGAGGATGGCCAGGTTTGGGGCTGGGGCCCGGGGTGAGAGTGGGATAGCACAGTTAGACAGAAAGGAACTGGGGACGAGGGGGAGGAAGCAGCAGGGACGCCCCCCAGAGATGCCAGGGTCCTGGCTGCACTGAGAAGGGCAGGCAGGGCTTAGAGTGGAGACGGAAGGCGGGAAGGAGAGGGGTGTGCCAGTGGATGGAACAGCATAAGCAAAGGCTCAGAAGCATCCCCAAGAGACGGCTGCGCTCAGGCCACTGTGGGCAGGGCTGGGGGTGGGCTGCACAACCACCTTCACACAGGCCTCCATCCTGAGGAGTGCCCTGGCCAGGGCCCTTCCAGTCCTGCTGGCCACACCTGTCCCAGCCCTGCCTCTGGGCTTCCAATCGCAGGGCAGCAGGTACTGGCGGGGGGTGACCTCCTCCCTGTCAGGGCAACGGTGCCCCTGTCCACCCTCGACTCCTGCTTGGACCATGCACAGCCTCTTCTTGCTTGCTCTGCTCCCCCACAGCAGGTGGGAGTGTGGGAACACCTGCGTCAGAGTGCGTCCCTCCTCCCTCCTCCGCCCAGAACCTTCTCCTGAATCCATCTCACTCAGACTGAAGCCAAGTCCTCACTGTGGTCCACGAGGCCTTAAGACTCTGCCCCCATCACCTCCCTGGCCTGTCTCCTCCCACTGCCCCCTGGCTCACTCTGCCACAGCCACATGGGCCTCTTCCCTACTTCGGCCGTGGCGCTGCTGTTCCCTCCGCCTGGACTGCTTCCCCCAGTTCTCCGCATGGTCATCCCTTTCCACCATTCAGGTCTCTGCTCAACCACCCGGCTAACACCCTCCTTTCTAACATATCACCTCATTTTATTTTCTTCTTCGTCGCACTGAGGTTACTGTCATAAATTATTATTATTATTATTATTTTGGTGAGGAAGATGGGCCAAGCTAACATCCATTGCCAGTCTTCCTCTTTTTGCTGAGGAAGATTAGCCCTGAGCTAACATCCCTGCCCATGCTCCTCTAATTTATGTGGGATGCCACCGCAGCGTGGCTTGATGAGTGCTGCATAGGTCCACACCCGGGATCTGAACCAGTGAACCCCAGGCTGCTGAAGTGGAGCACACAAACTTAATCACGACACCACGGCCCCACATAAATTATTTTATATATTTACTTGCTGATTGTCTGCTTCCCTGGTGGGCTGAATCCATAAGAAAAACATGGCCTGTTGTTGATCGTTGTATCCCTCCCATTGTAAACAAAGAGGATCTGACCCATGGTAGGTGTTGAATGAACAGTAAAGGTACTATTATCAAACTTTTACAGATAAGGAGAGAAGGTTCATGGAGTAAAACTCTCTACCTGGGGTCACATTCTGGAAACTTGTTGCTGTCGTGCACTGAGCCCTCTGAAGCCCTGTGCTAGGTGCTTCGCACGTATTCAATCATTTCATGAAGTGGGTATGATCATGATGGAACCCTTGCTAAGGATGAGGAAACTTTGATACAGAGAAGTTAAGTAACTTGCCTGAGATCACACAGCTGTTTTGTAGCAGCTGTGTGAACCCAGGCAGCCTGGCTCCAGAGCCCAAAGTATTAACTATCACGCTATGCTCCCTCCAAATCAGTGTTAGTCAGTGGCATATTCAAACCCAGGTCTGCAGCCTGGTCTAGACTACAATGTTCTACTGTCCTCTAAAAGCTTACTGGAGCCAAAACAATCTTTAAAAAGAGAAACAAAGTTGGAGGACTCAAACTCCCCAATTTGAACATACTACGAAGCTATAGTAATCAAGACTGTGTGGTGCTGGCATGTGGATGGACACATAGAGCAATGGAATACAGTTATTCCCAGAAAGAAATCCTTGCATGTATGGCCTATTGATTTTTGACAAGGGTGCCAAGAGAATTCAACAAAGAAAGAATAATGTTTTCAACAAATGGTACTGGATAATCACACACAAAAGCTGGACCCCTACCTCACACCATATACAAAAATTAACTCCATGTGGATCAAAGACCTAAATATAAGAGCTAAAACTAAAAAACTCTTAGAAGAAAACATGGGAGTAAATCTTCCTGATCCTCGGTGGGTCAAGGCCTTCTGAGACAGCAACAAAAGAAAAAAATTGATAAATTGGATTTCATCAAAATTAAAGACGTTGGTGCTATTTTGTGGTATGTGAATTATACCTCAATAAACATAAAAATTTCGTGCTTCAAAGGACACCATCAAAAAAGTGAAAAGACAACCCACAGAATGTGACAAAATATTTACAAATCCTATATCTGATGAGGAACTAGTATCCAGAATACGTAAAGACATTTTACAACACAACAATAAAAAGACAACCACTTTATAAATGGGCAAAGGATCCAAATAGACATTTCTCCAAAGAAGAAAGATAAACGGCTAATGAGTATATGAAAAGATGTTCAACATCATAGTTATGAGGGAAATGCAAATCAAAACCACAGGAGGTACCATTTCACACACACTAAGATGGCTATAACCAGAAAGACGGACAGTAACAGGGCTGGGTGAGGCTGTAGAGAAGCTGGAACCCTCACACATTGCTGATAGGAATGTCGACTAGCGCAGCTGCTCTGGAAACCCACGTGGCAGTTCCTCAGAAGTGAAACAGACTTAGCACATGACCTAGTAATTCCATTCCCACAGGGGTACAGAAGAGAGCTGAAAAATGTTTACACAAAAACTTGCACACGCATGTTCATAGCAGCATTGTTCATACCAGCCAAAAAAAAAAAGTGGCAATAACCCAAATGTCCACCAAGGAATGAATGGATAAACAAAATGCACATCCAAACAGTTTAACATTATCAGCCATAAAAAGGAAATACGGACACAGCCTACAACATACATGAATCTTGAAAACCAGCTAAGTGAAAGAAGCCATATTGTATAGGATTCCATTTCTATGAAATGTCCAGAATAAGCAAGTTCAGAGGGACAGAAAGTAGATTAGTGGTCTCCAGGACCTGGAGGGATGGGGGTACAGTTTCTTTTTGAGGTGATGAAATGTTCTGGAATTAGATAATGATGCTGATTGCACAACTTTGTGAATATACTAAAAACGATTGCACCGTACACTTGAAATGGTGAATTTTGTGGTATGTGAATTATGTCTCAATTTTTTTTTAATGGCAAAAAAAAAAAAAGCTTACTTGAGCATCTATCTGGTGGGATACAGGGATCTTCTTGAATCCTTAAGGTCCCCAGGGTCTGGAGGCACCACCACTATTAAAAGGTTACAGATGGGGAAACTGAGGCCCACACAGGATGACCCCTGCTGCACCCACTTACCTTGCCCTTGCAGGTGTAGTTTATCTTCAGGTAGTAAGGGAAGCCCAGGTATTTCTGCAAGCAGAGGTTGGGCAAACGTCCAGAGCCCAGAGGGGTGCGGGTCCAGGACCTCTCCCGTTCCCCTGACCCCGGGCCCCTCACCTCGTCCCGGTTGATGGGCGCGTCCACCAGCTGGCTGAACATGCTGTCCACTGTGTCCAGGGGCTCTTGATCGGAGAAGCGGTCGCTCTCGCCCTCCTTGCCGACCGTCGTGAACTGGTTTAGGACAACCTGCCAGTTGCACGTGTGGATCTCGTGCATCGCCAACAGCCTCCACGGCGCCCACAGCACCGCCAGCAGTGCCCACAGCGCCCGCAGGACTCGGAGTCGCGGCCACGCAGGCCCAGTAGGGAACATCGCGGGGCAGCGCGCAACGCGGCTCGACCCTGGGGAACGCCGGGGTCAACAACCACCGGCCAGACTGCGCTGGGGGGCCGTCTTCTGAGACCCCGCCTCGCTCCTGCGCCTCGCCCCGCCCCTGCTCCTGGCCCCGCCTCTGCTCGGACTTGGGGCCCGGCTCCGGCTCTTGCTCCGGGCCCCGCCCCTGCTCTTGCTCCCAGCTCCATCCCGGCTCTTGCTCCTGGCTCCACCTCTGCTCTTGCTCCAGGCTCCATCCTTGCTCTTCCTCCCGGCTCCATCCCAGCTTCTGCTCCTGGCTCCGCCTCTGCACTTGCTCCTGGCTCCATCCCTGCTCTTCCTCCCGGCTCCATCCCAGCTTCTGCTCCTGGCTCCGCCTCTGCTCTTGCTCCTGGCTCCATCCCTGCTCTTCCTCCCGGCTCCATCCAAACTTCTGCTCCTGGCTCCGCCTCTGCCCCAGACTTCGCCCCTGCCCCACGCCCTGCATCTGCTCCTATTCTGGATCCCACCTCTGTGACTCCAGGTCCCGCCTCTACTTTGGCTCCTGGCCACGGCCCTGCTCCTGGTTTCGCCCCGCCTCCTCGCCCTTAACCCTGGCCCACACTTGTTCTTTGCTCCGCCCCTGCTCTGCATCCCGCCCCTACTCTTCTCGTGGTCTCGGTCTTTGTTTCTCGCTTTGGCTGCGCCCCTCCTATTTTCCCCAATCCGGCTAGTGCCTCTGGTCGCGCACCTGCACCTGGCTCCGCCCCCTCGTCTTGACCTGCCCCCCCACTTCTCTTCGCACCGCCCCCTTCTCCTCGCTGTGGTCCTGCCCAGGTACAGGCTCCTGCACCTAGCCTCGCCCCTCTCTCGGTCCTGGTCCCGCCCCTTCCCAACGCCCCGCCCCTTCCCCACGCCCCGCCCCTTCCCCTGTCCCTGCCTCTGTTTCTCGCCCGGAGCTTGCTCCTCGCTCCGCTTCCACTCCTTCCGCCGTTTTTCCTCCACCCGATCCTGTTCTTCGACCCGCCCCTTATCCACCCGCCCTTTCCCCTCGTCCTGGGCGCGCTGTTCTGCCCGAGGATGCTCCTCGCCCCGCCCCCGCCTATGGCCCCGCCCCTTCTCTTTCGAGACCTTCTGTTTGCCTTCAGATCGCTCCTCGCCCCCGGCCTTCCCCACGCTGCGGGATCCCTCCTCGCCTTTCGCCCTCTGCTCACCTTTCGCCCTGTCCTCTCCTTTCGCCCTCTCCTCGCCTTTCGCCCTGTCCTCTCCTTTCGCCCTGTCCTCTCCTTTTGCCCTCTGCTCACCTTTCGCCCTGTCCTCTCCTTTCGCCCTGTCCTCTCCTTTTGCCCTCTGCTCGCCTTTCGCCCTGTCCTCTCCTTTCTCCCTCTGCTCGCCTTTCGCCCTGTCCTCTCCTTTCTCCCTGTTCTCTCTTTTCTCCCTGTGCTCGCCTTTCGCCCTCGCCTCTCCCTGCACCTTCTCCTCTTGCCCCGCCGGCGCTCCTTTGTCGCTCGGCAACTTCCCGATCCTCACCTTCCCCGGGAACCGCAACACCTTTTCGCCCCGCCCCTTCTCACCATCTGTTTCCATGCCCTGGACCGCTGCCGGCTCAGCGCTCCGCCCCTTCTACCCCGCCCCTCCTCATAGCCCCCTCCTCCTCGCCCCGCCCTTTCTCCGCCCCTCCCCTCCTCGGCTCGGTCCTCGCCTCTCCTCCCTCTCCCCAGCCTCTTCCCTCCTCTTCGCCCCCTCCCCTCCCCGCCCCTTCTTAATCCCTCCCCCGCCCCCCGCCTCCCTCCCTGGGATGGCCCCAGGCACCTCCCTCTTTCCCCCGCCCCGCGGTACCAGTCACTTGGTTAAAACCGGTCAACCGTCACTCGGCCGCTCCAGTCCCGCCCCTCTTGCCCGGTTTCAAGATGGCCGCCCGCACTTCCACCGCCGCCACCCACCTCCACGAGGTCGCTCCGCGCCCGTCTCCATGGCAACGCGTATCCCTCGGGGCGCCCGCGGCGGGCGCGTGGCCCGGCCGGCAGGGGGCGCTGGAGGCGGCGTGTACGCGCGGAGGGCCTTCGAGGAGTTTCCATTGGTTATGCGCGGCCGTCCTTCTTCGCAATCAGGCTTTTCCATCGAAAGTTTTACTCCTAAAAAATAAGGTGGGTCTCCTTGTAGGAGCTGTTCTGACTGCGGCTTAACACCCTCCTCGACAGAACAGGGACAAAAACAGTTATCGTGGGAAGTCTGTAAGATGACACGTGCAGAGTGTGCGGCACAAGCAAATATTCAATAAGTTAACAAGTTTCTTTTGGGTCCTGATGCCCAACAGTGTGACTCCCAGCGTGACCTCTGGATGAGCCGCGCGGCTGGCTCCACCCCGTGGCGTCCGAGCTTTCCCAGGAGGACTGGTTGGAGCAGGTGCTGCGGCTCCGCGCGAGTTTTTGCTCCGGCGGGTCTGAGGCGGGGCTCGAGGATTTGCATTGCTGGCTGGCGATTCCAGCTGATGCTGATGTTGGCGGTCTGGGGACCACCCCTTGGGAGCCAGCGCTCCCGTCCCCTGCGTGACTCGCCAGGACCTCGAGGAAACACCATGCTCAGCTGGTTTGCAGAGCCCTGCCGAACCTCCTCCCCGCCGTCCTTCCTGTCTGACTCACGTGCTCTCTCTGTAGGCCCCAGCCCAGCCACACGGGGCGGCGTGGACATCCCTGATGGGGCGAGCTCCCGCTCCCCGCCCCGGACTGCACGCGCTCTACCAGCTTCTGGCGTGACGCCGCCCCGGCTGCCCGCTTTCCTTCCTTAGGTCGTGTCTGGGCCACAGGACCAGCCCCCACCTCTCCCCCGACCACCCTAGGCCGTGACTGTCTAGGAACGGGTCTGTTTCCACAGCATCACGGGCTTCCTGGGCACTGTTGACCCCAACTCAGTCGGACACAGCGCAGAATAGGTGTTCTATGTAAATGAACGGAGGATGGAAGTCTCTGCTGCCCAGCCCGCGCCCACAGGTCAGGGAGGGGTGACTTCATCTGAGGGAATCAGCGGCTGCGTACCTGAGCCCTTGCCGTTGCACAGAGTCAGAGAGCCTGGGGTCTCCTCCTGGCACCCCGCGCTCAGCAATACAGCCCCTCCAGGGACAGGAGGCTTCGTTCCATCTTGACGGCCCAAGGTACGCTTTGCAGCATCATTTATGGCAGCGGAAGACTGGCAACCACGTATGTCCATTAACCAGACATGGAAATAGTTTATGGCACGCGGGTCCTAGAGGAGGCTCTGCAGACGTCAAAAAGGATCTGAGACCTGTGTGTCTCTGGAACAATCTCTGGACTACACGGGCTTGGTGAGAAACGCAAGGTGCAAAACTGAGAATAGTATTGGGAAAAGGATAGAAACATTATATATTTACATATAACATACAATAAAGCAAGGTGCAGACAAGAGAATAATAGTCATTAGCTACCAGTTTATTGGGGCCCAGACAGTGTTCGAAGAGCTTTCCAGATATTAAGTTGCTTAATTCTCTAACAAGCCCACGAGGTAGCTGCTGTTATCATCCCATTTCACGGATGAGCAAACTGAGGCCCAGGGAGGTGAACCCACTTGCCCAGAGCCACAGAGCTGGGGAGGCACAGAGTTGAGATTTACAGCAGGAACTTTGCCTCCAGAGTCTGTAACTGAGCACCTCACCATACTAGGTACCACTTGTGTAGAGGGAAAGGAAAAAGTGAAACACACACACACACACACACACACACACACACATACAGTGCTGCTCCACGGCTGGAAGGAGACCTCAGTGACCACAGCCTGCGTGCGAGAGAAATGCTGACTCTCCACTCTCCGCTCTTTCGTACTTTGTCAATTTTGTAGCACGCACATTTTTTTCTTAAGGTCTTGAACTGAACAGGGCCTGGGTTCTTTTTCTAGAGGAATTTGGAAGGAGAAGTGGTGAAGAGCAAAAGCCAGATCCCACAAGGACCACCCTCGAGAAGGGGAGAAGCAACTGCCTCCCCACCCAGCCGCTGACTTCAGCAGCAAGGTCAACAGTGAGCGCACGGAGGAGGCAGGAAGGCTGGGAGGCCGAGAAAGAGCTGGACAGCGGATGTTTCTGAGCCTCCGTGGGACAAGGTGATCCACCAAAACCTTGTTCAAATCCCAGTTTTGCACTTCCTGTGTGACCTTGGATAAGTTACTTAACCTCTCTGGACCTCCTTTCCTCACCTGTAATGTAGAGAATGTACCTAACTCGGAGTTGCTGAGAGGGTTAAATTAATTATTATGGGGGCCGGCCCCATGGCCGAGTGGTTGAGTTCACGCGCTCCGCTGCAGGCGGCCCAGTGTTTCATTGGTTCGAGTCCTGGGCGCGGACATGGCACTGCTCATCAAACCATGCTGAGGCAGCATCCCACATGCCACAACTAGAAGGACTCACAACTAAAATATACAACTATGTACCCGGGGGCTTTGGGGAGAAAAAGGAAAAAAAGTAAAATAAAATAGAAAGATTTTAAAAAAATAAATTATTATGTATCAAGGGCTTGGAACAGTGCCTGGCACCTGGTAAATCCCATGTGTTTCCCACCATTGGCATTAAAACAATCTTGTGTGACTTTTTAGCATTCTCCCGACCTTCTGCCTTTCTAATAGAAGCCCAGTTTTGCTCAAGTATTCACCAGCCTCCAAACCGAAACCTCAGTCCCGGGGGCAGGGAGAATTTTGAGGAATCCAAGCTAATCATGGTGGCTCCATCACTCTAGCCAATGATTGGTTCGGGCATGTGAGCCAATTTTGGCCAACGAGATGGAAGAGAAGTCTGCTGGGAGGCTTTGGGAAAAGGTTTCCTTGTTTCCAAAGAGACACAGGAAGAGATGCCCCTGTCTTCTTGCACTAGAAATTATGGCTGGTTGTGATGCCCGGACCTGTGGCAGCCACTTTGGGGCTGTGAGGGGAACCCGTGTGGGAGCCAAGCCTTCAGCTGAGAGTGGCAGAGTAGAGAGAGAGGAACCCTGGGGCCACAAGACCTTCCTGGAGCTGTGGACTGTGTCATGACCAGAGGTCTGCCCAACTCTGGGGATGTGCAATCTACAGTTATCTCATTGTTTCAGCCAGGGCCAGTCAGGACTTTGTTCCCTGCAGCCAAATCTTTCCTTACTGATCCTTTCCTTACGGCTGATTTCTCAAGCCTGGTCTTCTCTCTTCACTCCCACCCCGGGCTGCCACACCCCCATCATGGCCTCGGTTCCCTCATCTGTCTCCAGCCCCGACCGCCCCCCAACCCCATCCCCTGAGCCCCATCCCTGGGGGTCTCTTTAGTCCCTCACACCCACCATGTTCCAAACTAGCCTCAGCGTCTCCCCTTCAAACCTGTTCTTTCTCCCAGGTCCCCATCTCAGGGGCAGCTGACCATCCCTTGGGCCCTTCCCTGGCCTTGTCCCTCCCAAGTCTGTAAGGCCTGTGGAGAACCCCTCCACCCCCCACCCCCCGCCTCCCCTTGGCCCTGCCCAGCCCCATGGCCTCCTGCTTGGTTCCCGCCCCACCCTCCGCTGGACACCCAGCCTTGGTCTCTCGCTCTGGTCTAAGTCCACAGAGAAGCTAGGGGGCTTTTTCCAAGGCACAAGCCCAGCCATGACCCTCTCCTGCTCAAAGCCTTTCCATGGCTCTCTAGTGCCCTCAAGAAAGAGGGCAAGTTCCCAAGCTTGTCACTTGAGGACACCTAAGCTGTGCCCGTGTTTACCGCCACACCCTCCTTCCCCCACTCCCTTGCACGCCAGTCACATAAACTGTGCAGGAAGCCGATGTCCACATGCTTTCCTCCCCCAGGCCGTGCACACAGGCCCTTCTGCCGGGACGCCCTCCCTGCCCTTTCTACTTGTCTACTTACTCGGCAGGCTCAGCCCAAAGGCCCCAGCCCTTCTGCCACCCCCAAGGGCGTGGTCGAGGTGACAGCTCAGGACCGGCCTTGGGCAGAAGTGCTGTCACTGACCTACCGTCTCGGGAGGGAGCATATCTCAGGGAGTAAATGGAAAATCTGTCCCCTCCTAGCTCTGAGTCCACGACAAGGGCCCTCCCCTCCCCGTGCCTCAGTTTCCTCATCTGTGCAAACAGGGCAATGATATAATCTTCCTTCTATGTGAAGGGCCTGGCCAAAGACAGCGGCACAGACAACAGAGCAGGGTCCCTACATCCTCTTTGGAAGTCAGCACTGTTATTGCGGCCATTTCACAGGGGAGGGAACTGAGAAACAGAGGGGAAGGGACCGCCCGAGGGCGGAGGCGGGATGCAGCTGGGCTGGGACAGGGCGCTAGGGGAGCGGGGACAGCAGTCACCGTGGTGTCCAGGCTGGGATCCTGTGGCATCCTCCTGCTGGGTGGCTGAGGAAGATTCCAGCACTGGGGGCTACCAGGGCTCTCCGCATGGGTGTGGCTTCCTGGAGTCACTTAAGGAAAATGTCAAGTACACGTTCCTCCCCCGACTACTCCTCATATTTCAAGGCTGAGTCAAGTTGTCACTTCCTCCAGGAAGCCTTCCCTGACCTTCCAGGGGGGATTAGGTGATTCCCTGTGCTGCCTCCATCACAGCCCTGACCACACTGCCTCCCCTACTGAGGTCCTGCCCATTCTGGGCTGTCACTGTGTGGGGACGGGTCTGTCTACCTCCCTGGACTGTTAGCCCCCCCGGGAGCAGGGTCAGGCCATCTCGACCAGTACTGTGTCCCGAGCACTGCCCGGCATGGAGGAGGGAGCTGTGGATGAGTGACGATATTCTCCCCACTTGACAGATGAGGAGATCAAGGTGCAGAGAGGGGCGGTCACTTGCCCAAGGTGTAGTGAGCGAGCCAGTGCCAGAAATGAGGTCCAAGCCCAGAGCCGGGTGCAACACGCAGGTGACAAGTGGCTGGGAGAGAGAGGCTGATGGAGTGAGTAAAAGAACCAGACGTGAAGATGGTGAGGAAGCCAGGGAGGCACAGAGGGGGCAATGAGAGAAGGGGCAGGGAGGACAAGGCAGTGTTGGCGCCGGGGGGGAGCCGGGACACATAAGACAAAGGACGGACGGTTGGTGGCGATGCCTCAGGAACACCGGCATGTGCTCGCGGATGTTCTAGAATGTTCCAGACCAGCTCCCTCCAGCCTGGGAGCTGGCCCTGCTACCTGGGGATGGAGGCATAGTTGGTGTGGGAGCCGGCCATGAGTTGCTGGCGCGGCTCAGGTGGGGGGCCCAGAATGTCCGCTCGATCGTCATCCTCCTCCCTGATGCTGGCAGGGTCCACGCTGGGCAGCAGGATGAGCTCTGTGAGGCCGTGAAGGTCGGACACGTGGCGGAAGGTTTGCAGCAGGAGCACCATGGCCACCAGGCCCAGGAAGAGGTAGGCTGTGGAGATGGCGGAGGGCCGATGGGAGGACTCAGACCCCCGGGGTGGGCCATGGGGCTATAGGACCCCCAGGGTGGGGCCGTGCCCTTCAACTCCCCCCTGGGACAGGGCCAGTCCCCCTCAGAGCCTCCAGAGCCAGGCTGTGCCCCCGCCCTCCCATCCCCAGGCAGCCACTGCCCTCACCTGTGACCAGCACCTTGTAGAGGGCCCGGTGGGGCTGGCCAGGGGCCTCTCCGGGCACGTAGTCCCCCAGGCCGATGGTGGACAAAGAGATGAAGCAGAAGTAGAAGGCATCCAGGAAGCTCCAGGTCTCCTCGAGGTGGGCAAAGACCGCAGCTGGCACCAGGAAGCAGAGGGCCACTACGACCCCCAGCAGGCCCACCAGGTGCCAGCGGGCTGCGCGCCGGCGGTCCCAGCCCCATCGCGTGCTCAGCCAGGACAGGGGTGCGTGGGTCAGCAGCAGCGACAGGCGCTGGGCCGAGGCGGTCAGCAGCAGCATGGTGACGGGCACGCCCAGGAGCGCAAAGGCGATGGAAAAGGCCTTGCCTGCGTCGGTCAGCGGCGTCGTGTACCCATAGCCTGTGGGAGCAAGGGGACGTCCTGCCCGCTCAGCACCTCCCTTCAGGCTGGGGCTCACCCCAAACGGAGACTCATTTCACCCTTGAAGCTGCCCTCCCAGTCTCTCATCTCAGGTGATAGCACCGCCATCCTTGCGGCTGTTCAGGCCAGGAGCCTTGGGGTCACCCTGAGTCCCTCGTCACTCACACCCACTTTCCATCTGTCAGCGCATCCTGTCGTCTCAACCTTCAAATACACATCGAGCCCACCCGCCTCCCCTCACCCCACCCCACGGCCCCCACCTGGTCCTGCCGACCCCGGCAGCCTCCTCCCTCGCCTCCCTTCTCCCCCCGCCCTTGACCCCTGTCTGTTCCCCACAAGCAGCCAGAGGGAAGCTGTGGACACCCGAGTTCAGCTGCTCAGAGCCCTCCCGTGGCTGCCTCCCACTCGGGTAAAAGGACAAAGCGCTCACTGTGACCCACGAGGCCCCACACAGTGCGACAGGGCAATACCCTCCCATCCCAGGGCCTTTGCACGGACTGTCCTCTCTCCGAGGTTCCCCCGGCGCCCACGTGGCTCCCTTTCTTTCCTCCTTTCAGGTCTTTGATCAAATGTCCCTTTTTCAGGCCTTCCCTGACCACCTTATTTTAAACCGTTCCACCCTCTTACCAAACCCACTTGTGTTTGTCTTCATGGCCTCAACACCTTCTAGCATAATATACAGTTTCCTTATTAGTTCCTGTCTGTCTCTGGGCACCAGCTCCCGGGGGGCAGCACTTCTGTCTGTTTTGTCACCCCTGGAGCCCTGGTCTTAGGCCCAGAGTGGGCGCTCGATCAATAGTCAAAGAAAGAATGACGGGCGCAGGCTCTGGCCTGGCTCGGAGCCTCAGTTTCCTCCACGCTACCATGGGCGTGACCAGCCCCCTTGGGCTCCCGAGGACGGTGGGAACGAGGAAGTTCGGTGTGGGTGTGAGTTCTGCAAACAGACATATGATACGGGGAAACCCAGCTGTTGGGAGGACTCGCTTTGGCGATGTGGAGTCTAAGGTCTCTTTATTTCCCAAACTAGGCACACCAAAGGCTCGGAGACAGGACCGGGGTGCTGAGGGGCCTGCTTTGTGTTGACAGTAAGACGTCTCGCCCAAGAGGCTGCAGATCCAGCCTGTGGTCAGTAGTACCCGGGGTGGGCCATGGGGCTATAGGACCCCCTATACACACCGAAACCCTGTACACACGGTGGCCATTCCCCTGTGCCCGTCTTCCAGGCAGGAGGGTCCTCAGGTGTTATAGACTGAAAAGAACGGAAAGCGGGGGCTTGAAGAGACACCTGTACCACCACGTTCACAGCGGCATCATTCCCAACGGCCAAAAGGTGGAAGCGACGCAAGTGTCCATCTATAGATGGATGGATGAACAAAATGCAGTACATACATACGATGGAATATTATTCAGCCGTAAAAAGGAAGGAAACCCTGACACGTGCTCCACCGTGGATGAGCCTTGAGGACATCAGGCTAAATGAAATAAGCCAGTCCCAAAAAGACAACTGCTGTGAGATTCCTCTTCTATGAGGTTCCTAGAGTGGGCAAGTTCACATGGAACGGTGGGGGCCGGGGCCTGGGGAGTCAGGGTTTAATGGGCGTAGAATTTCAGTTTTGCAAGAGTTCTGGAGATGGACGGTGGTGATGGTTGCACGACAATGTGAATGTGCTTAATACCACTGAAGTGTACACATAAAAATGGTTAAGATAGTAAATTTTAGGGGCCGGCCCGGTGGTGTGGTGGTTAAGTTCGCGCACTCCCCTTCAGCCGCCGGGAGTTCACCGGTTCAGGTGCTGGGTGTGGACCCGCACACCGCTCATCAGGCCGTGCTGTGGCGGCGTCCCACATAGAAGAGCTGGAAGGACTTACAACGAGGATAGACAACTATGTGCTGGGGCTTTGGGAGGAAAAAAAGGATAGTAAATTTTATGTGATGTGTATTTTACCACAATTAAAAAAGAACTGGGGAGCCAGCCCTGAGGGCCCAGTTAAAGTTCCTGGTCACAGAGCCACACCACCCGTCTGTCAGTTGCCATGTTGTGGCAACGACTCACATAGAAGTAGAAGGACTTGCAACTAGGATATACAACCATGCACTGGGGCTTTGGGGAGGAAAAAAAAAAAGAGGAAGATTGGCAACAGATGATAGCTCAGGGTGAATCTTTCCCTGCAAAAAAAAAAGAAAAAAAAAAAAAGAACTGGGAAAATAAAGGATCCTCCAGTTTTTGCTAGACACACAGCTGCCTGGAATAAAGACATCCCCTCCTCCCTCGCAGCCCAGTATGACTCTGGAATAACTTCTGGCCAATGCGGTACACGTGAAAGAAGCAAGCAACTTCCAGGAAGGGTCCTTAAAGAGAGGGGAATGCCTGTCCCCTTCTTTCCTCCCTCATCCTGCTGCCTGGACACAGATGTGAAGGCTGGAGTTGAGCAGCCATTTTGGACAATGAGGTGACCCTTGGGAATGGCAGCTGTGCAAAGAGGAGTTATGGAGGAGCATGAGGGTCTCCAACTATGACCATTCCAGTCTTGGACCAACTACCACAAATGTGAGCAAGAAATAAACTTCCAGGGCTGGCCCGGTGGCATAGCGGTTGGGTTCGTGTGCTCTGCTTCGGTGGCCCAGGATTCGCAGGTTTAAATCCTGGGCATGGACATATGCACCGCTCATCAAGCCAAGCTGTGGCAGCATCCCACATACAAAATAGGGGAAGATTGGCACAGATGTTAGCTCAGGGACAATCTTCCTCACCAAAAAAAGAAACTTCCATCTTGGGGGCCAGCCCTGGGGCTGAGTGGTTGGGTTTGTGCACTCCACTTTGGCGGCCTAGGGTTTCACTGGTTCGGATCCTGGGTGCAGACATGGCACTGCTCATCAAGCCATGCTGGGGTGGCATCCCACATAGCAGAGCCAGAAGGACCTACAACTAGAATATACAACTATGTACTGGGGGGCTCTGGGGAGAAGGAAAAAAAAGAAGATTGGCAACAAATGTCAGCTCAGGCGCCAATCTCAAAAAAACAAAGAAAAAAGAACCTTCTATCTTACGTAAATAACTGTGCTTTGAGATGGATCCCTTATGGCTCCAGCCCTCATGAAGACAAGGATTTTGATGGAGAAACGCCAGCAGCCTGGGTGAAACGACAAGCTTGCAAAGGACCCAAAATTCTTATAAACAGAAAAGTTATATAGAGTCAGGACGGGGGCCGGGAGCCTCGAAGAGTCAAATCCTGGTCAGTGCTTTGCCCTTTATTCTCTGCATGACCTTGGCCACAGGACTTCTCCTCTCTGAGCCTCAGTTTCCCCAGTGTACTGCCAAACGGGCTTCCTCAAATGTGACAATGATAATCCTCCCAGGTGGGGACAGGGCGTGGGAAGAGTCACCAGGAGGGCGCTGCTGGCTTCCTCGCTCCCGACTCCCCGTTCCGGGTGGGCCGACAGGACCAGGGATGCTGTGGGAGAGGAGCCTCCGAAGGACCTTTGGCTTCCCGGCCTCGCCAGCAATGATGGCGGCCACCGAGCATCAGGAAAGCTCCGTGACCGGGAGCAGTGCTTCACGCTGACAGGACTCCCTCTCTGACCAAACTCATGTGGCCCCGCTGGGCCCTCTGCTCAACCAGGCCCGGGGGCAGCAGGAGCCCTAAGTCGGTTACGGAAGGATGCCCCCACTCTAGACATCTCATCAAGTTCCTCCTCCTCTGCCCTTCAGACCCGAGTCCTTTGATCTCAGTCCTTGGCCTGTCTTTAGCAAGAATCCTCTCAAGCCAGTTGAGCCAGAATCCCCCACCCTCGCTGTCTCCTGAGTCACTCTCCATCCACCGATCCCTCCCTCTGCTCTCGGCTCTAAACCCCCAGCTGTCTTCGCCATATTTGGAGTTGAGTTCCATCTCTCTCCGAATAATTTTTCTTTTACCATGCACATACATCCCCCTCTTTTGTGCAAGCCCAAGAGGTGGTGCAGAGTGTTGGTTAAGAACTAGGGATTGTATACCTTCCGAGCTGTGTGACCTTGGGCAAGTTATCCAACCTCTCTGGGCCTCCGTTTCCATGGCTAAAAAAACAGGGCCACCAATGGTACCTGCCTCACAGGCTGCTGTGCCAATTAAGTGAGTAAAAGCCCATTTGTAAGACTCTGCCAGGTATACGAATATTATATGAAGGGGGAGCATTAGTAGCCCCATTTTACAGACGAGGGGGGGCACCGGCCCAGAGACGAGCAGTGGCTGAGCAGGGATCTGAAGCGAGGCTGTGCCTGCCTCGAGTGGCTTCTTGGCCTGTCCCGCCTGGGAGGACTTCTGGATCTGGGCGGAGGCAGAGGGAGACACTGATGTGACCCAGCCAAGCCCAGGAGCAAGTCAGGCAGGCCCAGCCAGCAGGGGAAGAGAAGCCCCGGGGAAGGTCGCGAATTCCAGAGGCTGTGAGAAGCATCTGGCCCTGCTAGGCCCGCTGCCTGTGGCCTTGGTCTGCCGGTCCACACAACAGGGCACCCAAGCCCACGGCCACGGCCACAGCCTCGGGGAGGAGTGCGGGCTAGCCCGGCCCCAGCCTCACCCCCTCCCCTGTCCAAATCCCAGGCAAAGAGACAAAGAGGAAGTGTGGGGGCTGGGGAGGTGCAGGGGGAGGCCCAGCATGCTGGGGTTTCCCAGGTCTGCAGGGCCCACCGGGCAGGGATTTCCCTGGGAGGGTTGGGGAGGGGGTTGGTCCCACCTGCAGGGGCGGCAGCGTCGGGGGTGGGGGGGGGTGCCCTGGGTCCACAGAAAGGAGGGGACAGGCACCAGCAGGGCATTTTCTGGATCACAAATGGGATGGGGAGGGGAGTCCTCAGGCAAGGATGCCTGAGGGGGCGTGAAGGGGACAGGCACTGCTGAGGGGACGATGGGGGACCATGTCTCAGGTCCTCGCTAGTCCAGGGTCGGCAGTAAGGGTCTTGAGTGGATACTGGGGTGCAGAGGGCCCAGGGCGTCCTTGATGGGGGGGAGAATTTCCGGTCCACAGCAGGCTGGGGCAGTGTTAAGGTGGAGAGGGAAGTCCCAGCTGTCAGTCTGGAGGAGACTGAAGGGTCCCTGATCCCCAGGAGATTCCCTTGGGAAATCCAGCGTGGCAGATGCTGGCATCCTGTGTGTGCATGTGGAGGGGGCTGGGATTCTGCTTTCAGTGTACAGAGCTCTGGGGCCCCTGCAAGGGGGTCCAGGTCATTCTGGGGCCCTCGCCGAGGGGAGTCAGGGCCCGGAGAGGGATGAGAGCCTCACCCAGGGCTTCTCGGGTTCAAAAGGCCCCGGTGGGGAGTCAGCCGTCTTGCTGCAGGCAGGTCAGGGACTGAAGGGGCGGAGTCCTGGCTGGGGGCTTCTGGTGGGAAACAGTCAGTGGTCCTTCCTGGAGGGCGCTCTGGCCCCCTCCACGGTGGGTCCCTCTCACATGTCCACAGTTAGGGGCTGTTGAATTGGAAGTCCCAGGTCCAGAATGGAGAGGGGGTGCCCCACTGGGCTTCCCAAGACAGGGGTGCTGTCAAGATGGAATGGGGTATGGGGAGAGGGGTCCCATGTGTGAGTCAGGACTACCTGCTGGGGAGTACGAGGATGGGGTGGTCCTTGGTCTGGAGGAGGGCAGGGGCCCTTGCTGGGGCGCGGTCTAGGGCCAGAGGGGTGGAAGTCTCAGGTGGGGGCACCAGGTCCTTGCTGAGGGATCTCTACTGGCAGTAGGGTCTTTAGTGACGGCGCCCTGAGAGGGTCTGGAGATTCAGGGTCCTCACTGGGGCACCAGGGTCAGCAGGAGGTTGGGGTAGGGCTTCCCAATTGGCGTCCCAGAAGGACACATCTGGAGAGTCAGGGGCCACTGTCGGAGGGGATGGTGGTCTGAGCCCAGAGGGGACAGGGGTCCTTGCATGGCTGAGGTCCCCGTCCAGGGGGGTGAGGATCTCAGGCCGAGGGTCCCAGGTCCTCGCGGGAGGTCTCTGAAGGTAGCCCTAGGCCCAGAGGGGACTGGACGGACCTGGGTCTCCCAGGGGGTTAAGGCCTGGGAACGGGGTCCCAGATGCTCACTGGAAGGTACTGGGAGGGAGGCCCGAGTCCCAGAAGGAACCCGGGGACTTCCTGCTGGGGGAAAGGCTTGGATGGGAGTTCCCTGAAGCGGGCCAGATCCCACGAGTGTGGGTCCCGGGTCCTCGATGAGGGGTTTGGAGGGGATCCTGGGCCCAGAGCGGACTGGGAGTGATCCGCTGGGATAGGGGTATTTCGTGATGGCTGCGGGGACGTGGTGGGGGTGCCGGGTCCTCGCCGGCTGCGGGGATCCGGGCGCGGCTCACTTACCCACGGTGGTGACCAACGTGCTGGCGAAGAAGAGAGCCGAGGCGAAGTCCCAGGCGGGGTCCGAGGCGTTGGCGGGCCCGGAGGCGTTGGCGAGCGCGGCGCGCCCCAGCCGTCCGGCCGCCAGCACCCGCTCCACGAAGGCGTCCAGGGCCGGGGCGGCCACGCACGGGCTGCGCCGCAGCAGCTGCTCGCGCTGCGCCCCCAGCTCGGCTCGGAGCCGCGCTTCGTGCGGCCCCTCCAGCCGCGCCACCAGCAGGGCGCCCAGCACCAGGTACGCGGTGTAGACCGCCAGCGCGCCCGCCAGCAGCGCGCCCTGCCGCATGGCCCGCGCCGCCCGCGCCCCGCGGAGCCCCCGGCCGCCCGGCTGACGTGGCCCCCGCCTCCCGACGGCCGGGCGCCCAGCCTCAGTTCCGGGAGCGCTCGGGCCGCGGCCACAAGCGCCCCAAAGAGGAAGGAGAGGGAACGGGGAGGGGCGGCGGGGAAAGGACGCTCCGCCTCCGGGAAACTGAGGCACGCCCCGCCGCCAGGTGTTCGTGTGTACCAAGAGGGTGGAGCCCAGAGCTCCGGGATCCAGCAGACCAACAGGCTGGAAAGGGTGGGGGCTGGGGACCATCCTTCCTTTCCTTCCGTCCCTTCTTCCCTCTCTTCCTCCCAGGAGTTGGCGGCTCCCTGTATTCGAGAGAATCCGAACCGTCTTCTCCGCTCGCGGACCGCGGTGTCGCCCCCTACCTCCTCAGGGCCAAGGCGCCCCGCTGCGAAGACTGTGCACGGACTGCATCAGGGCACGTGGCTGAGGGGACAAGGGGACAACCCGAATCCAGTCCTCGCTCCATTCACTAAATCGTGCGCTCTGGAGTGGGGTTGCGGCCACCTGGAGGGGACACCTAATTCACAACGAGGGACAGCACAGGGGCAGGGGTCCCTTGTGCCAATGGACGGAGTAAGGGTCCTTTGCTACTCACCAAATCTTTGCTCTGCGCCCACTTTGTGCCCAGCCCTTTGCTGGGTGATGCTGGGGACACAGCACTGACCAAGACACTACCCTCCGGGGGCTCCCAGCACTCCAGCAGTGACAGCACAGCGGGTCACGGGTGATGAGGGAAGCACAGGCAGAGTGACCAGGGCTGAGGTGAGGGGAAGACTAGATGCCTGTGGAGCCCAGAGGAGGTGACCACCCCAGCTGAGGGGGGTCAAGAGAGCTTCCCCAGGAAGGGGTCTTCTGAGCTGATGCATGAAGACGCACAGGAAATCTCTTCCTGGCAGAGCCACAGATCCACACCTCTACTAAAGGGGAGTCTCCCTTCCCTGCTCCCCCCGTGTGTTTCTGCACGTCCCCCTCCCGCTGTAACTCAGCACCCTCCCTGACGACGGTCTGGAGAGCAGCCCGGAGTCCCGGCCACAGCTGACTAGCAGAGGAGTGGGCTTGGGGCCCAGCTCAGACACACCCCAGCCGCCTCTATTTATAAAACAGAGCCCAGCTCGGGGCTGACAACTCATAGGAAGAGACACCTGATAATAAAAACAGTAACAGTAGCTGCCAGGGATCAAAGGCTCACACTATGCCAGGCCCTGGGGACACATGGGCTTGTACTGAATCCTGAAACCCCCCCCATATCATTCCCATTAAACGGATGAGAAAATTTAGGCTTAAAAATGGAGTAGTGACGCAACTAGTCAGGGGTGAGGATGAGGCCAACAGAAAGCCAAAATACTTGCTTTATTAATAAAAAATATTCACAGAATTTAGAAGGGGGGGACCTACGGATGAGAAAATGGTAGCGGAGCCAAGGGACAGATGCTAAACTGAAGGTGCAGAAGAAGAATGGGGCCACCTCACTAGCAAAAAGGACCGTGGCTGAGCCAGGACTCACAACGGAGAGACCAGAACAGTCCTCGAGGTCCCCAGAGGAGGAAGGGGAAAGCCACAGGGACAGGGTCACTTGCTGACATCCTTCCGGAGTGCTATCACTGCCCAGAAGTCACTTCTACCATTATCTTTGCCTGAGATAAGTGGAGGAGGCCCAGGGACAGAAGCAGGGAGGCTGAGGGGAAGAGAAGTGGGGAGACCGGGCCAGATAAAGGGGGAGACGGGGACAGAGAGAGGAGAGACGAAGGAAGCTCAATTTTCAGGGTCCCTCACTTGCAGGTGTGCCTGTGTGCGCTAGGAGTTGCTGGGGGTTGTAGTGTTTTGGGCGGACCAGGGAGCCAGGTAGCAACGCAAGAGCATTGATGAATTTCTGGGAAAACGTCTAAGATGTCTTCCAAGAAAGACACCTGGTTCTTCCCACCTAACTTGTTAGGTGTCCTTTTCTCACTCCAAATATTCACTTAAATCTTAAATACCTAAGGTCTGCCAAAATTGTACAAGCGTTAGAGCCCGCCTAACTCCGCTTAGCCCTTCGGGAACACAAATGGATCTCTCCTCCTCTGCTCCACACCCTTCCCTGGCTCCCCAGCGCTCTCAGCCGCCCAAGGTGAGCTTCCGTCTATAAAGAACTCCATTTCCCATCGGCCTCTTCGCTCGACTCCCACATTTCCGATCATGCGCGACCCCGCCCACTGCTAGGATTGCTCCCGGCTCCGCCCTCCTGCCCCTAGCCCTCGCCTTACGTCACGGCCTCCAGTCCCCGCCTCTTACCCACCGCCAGCTAGTCCACGACTCCGCCAGGGGGCGTGGCCTCTGCGCGATCGTGTCGCCCATTGGCTGTCGCGTCACCGGCGGGGGGTGGCTACGGGAGCCGGGCGGGCACATTTGGAACCGCGGCCCGGGCGGCGGCGGCGGCGGCGGCGGCGGAGGAGGAGGTGTACGATGCACCCGGCAGGCGCGGCGGCGGCGGGGACGCCCCGGCAGCGTAAGTGGCGTACGTGGCTGGGCGAGGCGATGGGGGGGGCAGGGGCGTGGCAGGGCCGCTGTGGCAGTTGGCGAGGTCGCTGCGGGTCGGAGGTCACGAGGTCAGGGATCTGGAGTTTCGTGTGCGCAGCGCAGGGATGCCAGGTCTGGGTAGGGGGCGCGTTGGGGTCGATTCTTCTTTTCCTTAGGAAATTCCTTTGGAAGAAAACCACTTTGGGCAGGACGCTGTGTGATGTGCAGAAAAACGCGATTTTCATTCATTGTCAGTTAGCGATCGGCCCGCTCCCCGTCCTGTGGCCTGGAGCGGTCGCCCACGCTCCTGACGACGGTGTTCGCAGCTCTGCGTGAGCGCTGAGGGCCGGGTTCATCCCGCGTTTAAATTGCAACCTGTCTGTATCGTACTGTTCACGGCCTTTCCCTGTCTCTGAGTTTGTATCCCCACGTAGGTTCCTCTGCGTCTCCGTGAGTGTGTGTGCATCTCGTTTATTCATTCGGTACGCCCTGCCCCAGATCCCATGGTGCCAGGGCCTGTGCTGGAGTTTGGGTGCCCGGTAGTAACCGGCGTAGCCCTGGTCCTTGTTACCCTGAGGCTCAGAGTTGAGTGGGAAGACAGACCCTGAACTGGGAAGCAGAGACGTCAGCAAGATAATTGGGGGAGTAATTAGGGCATAACTAATCCAGGACGTAGCCGGGGTTGCAGAGCCCTCTCTGTCGAGGCAGAGGGCATGGGGCGCTCATTCCTTTCCTCACCCGTTAGTGAGGTGCCTGGCTGGCCCTGGGTGATGCTGGGGATACAGCTGTGCCAGGCAGCTCTGGTTCCTGTCCTCGTGGAGCTACCAGTACAGGGCAGACGGCAGCGACAGTCTAGAGCGGTGCAGCTGTGACGAGAGCAGCACAGGCAGAGGAGTCAGGGCTGGGATGGGGGAAGCCCAATCGGAGTGCTGGTGGCCGGGCCGGAGGTGTTGTAGCCCCGATTAGTCACGTGACCCAGCCTGGGGGTGTCAGTGACGCTTCCTGGACAAGGGACGTCTAATGATGAGGAATTAGGCCCGAGAAGGAGATTTGTGGTGAGAGGGAAAAGCATTGGAGGTTCGTGCCAAGTAAACAAGTAGACACATGAATATATATTTAGCAATTGTCATAAGTGCTCAGAAGGGGAAAAGGCACCACTGGATACTGTGAGAAAGCACAGCTGGGGCTAGTGCCTTCTGCTGAGCAGTGAGGAAGGTCCCTCTGAGAAGGAAGCGTTTGGGCTGAGGCCCCAGTGCTCTATTAGCAAGTGCTGACCGGGGGCAGGCGTTCCAAGGGGCTAGCACTGCATGCTCAGAAGGCTGTGGGGGCCAGGGGCTTGGCGTGGTCAGGGCCAGGAGGAGGCCACTGAGACTGGTGCAGAGAGCCTGTCATTGACCAAGGGTGGTTGGCAGGGCTGGCTCACGCAGGGCCTCATAGGCTGTTGGATTTTATTCTCACCACACTGGGCACCCATCTCAGGCAGAGGACATAAAGTGTTCTCTTTAGCATTTAAAAAGATCACTCAGGCTGCTGACAGAGAAGGTTGGTGGGGCAAAGAATGGACAAGGGGACCCGGTAGGAGGACATTTAAGTCAGGTGCAAGATGACAGTCTGAGAGGGGAGGGTAACATTGAGACATGGTGGGCGAGAACTAGCGATTGGCTGGTTGGATGTCAGCCAGAAGGGGAATCGGGGTTTGGACACTGAGGTAAGAGCCCTGGGGCAGCCCGAGGGCGTTGCTGGGAAGTGGCCAGACCCGGGTCTGGAGCCAGGAGGAAAGTGGTGACTAGAGACAGAGGCCAGGGCCCAGGGCACACCGTGGGTGTGAAAGCTGTGGGTTGGGAGGTTGCCCCAGGCGAGAGGCAGAAGGTGAGGGCCAGAGTGGAGACTGGGGTGACACTTTTCAGGGAGCTGGAAATAAGTCATTGATGGAGAGGGACCTGTCGGGAGACCATCAGCTCCGGGAAGGCAGGAGCGTGCGTCTGTTTGATCCTCGCTGAATCGGCCAGGCCCGCAGCAGGGCCTGACTCACAGAGGTCCTCCAGCGGTGTCTGGTGGCTCAGACAGGAAAGAGAAAGGGCGTGTCTCGGAAGGCAGGAGAGAAGAGAGTGGGAGGCGGGCATTTGGGGCAGTGGCGTCAAATGCTGCTGAGGGCTGCAGTCGAGAGAGTGGCGTCACGCCCTTGGCCTGGAAGCACAGGGGGACAGTTAGGAGGGCGGGGTTGCAGACCCCCAAAGGCCAAGGGTTGAGGGGGAGACAGGGAGGGAGGACGCCCTTGCATCGAAGCTTTCAGGAAACCGGCCCTTCTGGCCCCGGGTCGGACAGGGAAGAGGGAAGCGGGCTTGGGGCCGGGGGCCGGGGGCCGGGGCCAGGCCTGCCTGCTTTGGGACTGAGGACACCTGGGTCTGTTTTCAGGCTGCTGGTAATTGAGAGGAAGAGTGGAGGGGCCAGTCGTTGATAACAGGTGACAGGGACTGACCGCTGTATTTGAGCCCGGCCAGGGGCTGAGTGGTTTCTAAGGTCACTTTGCCTGGGGTTCGCTCCACAGAGAGAACTGAGAAGCAGAGGAAGTCACGATGCGGATTATTCGGTTCCTGTCCGCCCTGCTGCCCTGTGCCCACAGTGGCGCCTGGCACCCAGGAGGAGCCCAGCAGATGTTTGCTGCAGCAGCCTCCCTTACTGGCTGGGAGCAGGGGCCCTGGAGCCCCAGTGCTGGGGTCAGACCCGCCCTCTGCGAGTCCCGTCTCCCCCTTCCTTCCCCGCCCAGCTGAGCGCCTCCAGCTAGTCCCCCCTCCTCCTTCCAACATCTCTGCAGAAGCAGCCCCACCCTCCATCCTGGTCTCCCACCTGGACCGCCTCAGCCGCCTCCTCCCTCCCGTCCTCTCCCTGCCCCCGCCCCCCAACCTGTCCCCACGTGAAGCCAGAGGGACTTTTTTAAAACCTTGAAACCTGGCTCTGCCTCATACCATGTGTGACTTTGGGCAAGGGCCTGAACCTCTTTGCGGCTCGCTTTTCCCTCTGATAATACTGATAATAGACTCGACACAAACGGGGCTGTGGTGAGGATTGAAGAGTTAATCCGAAGTGCTGTGTGGTCAGTGCTCATTTAGGGGTTAATTATTCTAATGCTTATCAGGCCGACCTGGGCTGGGCTCGTGCTGTCACTCGCTGGCTTTGGCCCTCACACATGTCGTTTAGCCTGTCTGGGCCTCGGTTGCTCCATCTGTAAAATGGGGATAGCCGTTCATTCACTCTTCAGGTTTTTATCAAGTACCTTTTCGAGCCCTGTTCTGGGGGCTGGGGATTCCGCCGTGAACAAAACGAAGATCCCCAGCTTGGGGGGCTCACGTTTGAGTGGGGAGACGGTGAACCAGACACATAAAACAGCTAGGGAGTACATCAGGAGGTGTGAGTTCTGTGGCCATCAGTGAAGCAGGGATGGGAGGGGGATGCCTCCCTGAGCCAAGACTTCGAGATGGGGAGGGAGCCATGAGGATGTCGGGAGGAAGAGCGTTCAGGAAGAGGAACAGCCAGCGCGGAGGCCCTGAGATGGGAGCATGTCATTGTCGTCATCATCGGATGGGTGGATGGCAGGGAGAGCCGCCTGCACTTGACGCCAGCCCACCTGACATCAGAGCCAGGTGGGTGGGAGAACGCGGGCGGAATGAATGAGCCTCACCCCTCTCCCCCTGCAGCCTCGAAGCGGAGGATCCCTGTGTCCCCACCCGGCATGGCTGACCCCCACCAGCTTTTTGATGACACAAGCTCAGCCCAGAGCCGGGGCTTTGGGGCCCAGCGGGGACCTGGCGGCCTGGGCTACCCTGCAGCCGCTGCCTCGCCCCAGGAGGCCTTCCTGGCCGATCCCGTGTCCAACATGGCCATGGCCTACGGGAGCAGCCTGGCGGCGCAGGGCAAGGAGCTGGTGGATAAGAATGTGAGTGGGCCGGGCTGGGGGATGGGGTGGGGACCCTGGGGGCCGGGCGTCAGCTTTGTGCTCTGCCTCCCCAGATTGACCGCTTCATCCCCGTCACCAAGCTCAAGTATTACTTCGCTGTGGACACCATGTATGTGGGCAAAAAGCTGGGCCTGCTCTTCTTCCCCTACCTGCACCAGGTCAGCGCCGCCCACCGAGGGACCGGGGCTGGGTGGGGACAGCCTCTGGGGCAGGTGTGGGGGGCAGGGTGGGAGGAGCCCAGCTCTGGGGATCCTGCCTGTCCCCCCCTCTCCCCACAGGACTGGGAGGTGCAGTACCAGCAGGACACCCCAGTGGCCCCCCGCTTTGACATCAACGCGCCTGACCTCTACATTCCAGGTCTCCCCCACCCGCCTCCACCCCGGCACCCTCCTTCCTCTGGGTGGGCAGGTCTCGGGCGGAGGTCTCGGTGCCCGGAGGCCCAGACGGTCCTTCTTCCTCTGACCAGTGTCTGTGTGTCTGCCTCCCACAGCTATGGCTTTCATCACCTACATCTTGGTGGCTGGCCTGGCCCTGGGGACCCAGGATAGGTAAGAGAGGCAGGGGGAAGGCAGAGTGGGGTGGGGTGGGGGGCTGAGGGCCAGCCTGAAGGTCTCTTGGATCCCTTCTCTCAGAAGAGCCCACTGTGCTTCCCCTCGGCCCAAGACAGAGCCCTCTGTCGCGCTCATGGTCACCCTCGCCTCTTCCCTCTCTTTCCCCTTCTGCCTATCACCACACCTTGTGCTGGTGTGCCTCTTTAAATCTGTCCTTCCCCTTGGGCTCCACCACCAGATCCATCCTCTTCCTCACCCTGCCTGCCCTTCCTCCTCACTCTGCTGCACCACTCTGGTCCTCTTTGCCTCCTCCGGAGGACCTGGTGCTGCCACCCCAGGGCCTTTGCACATCCAGTTCCCTTTGCTCAGGAGTATGTTCCTCCCCTACATCATCTGCCGAGCATCTGCTCATTCAGTGTCTCCACTCAGATGTCACTTCCTCAAGGATGCCTTCTGCTCCCCCAGTCTGGGTCAGGCTCCCACCTCTCGCTCATAGGCTCCTGTTCATTTCCTTTGTGGCACTGAAAACAGGTGTCATTAGAATCAATTCATTCTTGAGGCATGGGGCATATGGCAGAAACCGAGGTCCTTCTGTCCCAGCTCCTTATTCCTTCAGGCCTCAGCTCAGTGTCTCCTCCTCTGGGAAGCCCTCTCTAACATCCCCTCCCAACTGGGTCAGGCACCTCCTCTGGGCTCCCAGAGCCTGCTGTGTTTCCTCCATCCCAGCCCTGACCTCTCTGAGCTGTCCCTGAGGGCAGGTCCACCTTCCCTGTAATGGGATTTCCACGAGGACAGGGCCCAGATCCATCTTGGTCACTGCTGGGTCTCCAGCCCCACCCCGTCCCCAGCGGATGCACAGGGAGGGTCCGACCCAGCCAACGAGTGACACAGCTTGGCTGCCGGCAGGTTCTCCCCGGACCTCCTGGGGCTGCAGGCCAGCTCAGCGTTGGCTTGGCTGACCCTGGAGGTGCTGGCCATCCTGCTCAGCCTCTACCTCCTGACTGTCAACACCGACCTCACCACTATCGACCTGGTGGCCTTCCTGGGCTACAAATACGTCGGGTGAGTACCCCCTCCCAACCCTGCCAGCCGGGCCCTGGCGCCTTTTCCTCAGACCGGCCCTCCCTCCCCCAGGATGATTGGCGGCGTCCTCATGGGCCTGCTCTTCGGGAAGGTCGGCTACTACCTGGTGCTGGGCTGGTGCTGCGTATCCATCTTTGTGTTCATGGTGAGCGGGGGCTTGGGGCGGGCCGGATGGGGCTGAGGCACAGGCCTCCGGGCAGAGTCGGGGGCCCTGGAGGCCTCCAAGCAGAGGGGGTCGGGTGGGGAGTCTAGGCCAGAGCCGCACTGCTGAACCAAGGGGCCCTGGAGTGGATCCCCGGCCTGGGGGGCAGGAGGCCTTCCTGGAGGAAGAGGTGCCCAAGCTGGGGCCTGAAGGAAGAGGGGAGCCAGCCAGGCAGCCAGGGTGGACGCTCACCCTCTGTCCACACTCCTATGGCGGCTTTCCTGCCAGAGTCTGTTAGGGTGAGAAAGCGTCAGCACCCGAGAAGGAGCTCCTGGGAGGGCCCTTCCAGCTGGCCTGGAGACGCTGGTTAAGAGCACCGGGCCCCTCCAGGCCCTGGGCACCTCACTGCCTCTCTTTAAGCCTCAGTCTCCCCTTTTGTAAAGTGGGGATGATGGTAATTGCACCTCAGGGTCCTGGGAGGATTCAGGGTGAGCCTGTGTGAGGAGCAGTGGGCAAAGACTCATGGCTGGTGGGCCAAATCTGACCCCCAGATAAACTTCGACTTAGATAGCATTATTTCAAAGTTTTTAAAAAAAAGGCATTTCTGGCTTATGTTGAAAAATTGTTGTCTGGCCCGTAGAAGCGGGTGGCGGCAGCCAGGGCTGAGCCTGGCCACCCCCTTCAGGCGGGAGAGCCACAGAGAAGTTCCCGCCTCACTCAGGGGCCTCCACTGGCGTCTGAATTTGGAACCCTCCCATTTCTCCCAGGCCTGGGGAGGAGCGGGGCCTCACCCTCTCTTAGGAGACCTGGGGGAACCAGGGCTCCCCAGGAGCGAGATTGGAGGGAGGGAGAAACTGGTGGCTGCACAGATGCAGGGACTGGAGGAGCGTGCGGGGCCGGGAGGGCTCACGGGTGCCCCCCACCCCGCCCCAGATCCGGACGCTGCGTCTGAAGATCCTGGCGGAGGCGGCGGCCCAGGGCGTCCCGGTGCGCGGGGCGCGGAACCAGCTGCGCATGTACCTGACCATGGCCGTGGCGGCGGCGCAGCCCCTGCTCATGTACTGGCTCACCTTCCACCTGGTGCGGTGAGGCCCGGCCCGGGGCTGCAGCTGCTGCTCCAGGCGGCCCCGCGCGCCGCTCATCTCCCCAGCCCGCCCGCCCGCGTGGCACCGGCGCCCCCATCCCGAGGCCCCCTGTCCCCCCCCAAGGTGCTGAGATCGCCAGCTGCACAGGCCGCCCAGCGGTGCGGCCACCGTTCCAGAAACAATAAACCGTGATGGGCTCTGCGTGGGCAGCCTCTCTTTGGTGGCGCGGCCGCCCGGCAGGGGGCGGGCCCGGCCGGGAAGGGGACGCGGGCGGGCGGGTCACTGCGCCTCGCAGCCAGAAGACGAGCGGAGGGCCAGAGAAGTTTATTGAGCCGAGCCCCGCCCCGCCCCGCCCGTCAGTGGGGAGCCTCCTTCTTCTTCCCTTTCTCCTTCTTCTTCTTCTTCACCTTGGGCTTCTTGACCTTGCCCGCCGTGCCTTCGTGCTGCGGCCGAGGGGAGAGGAGAGAGGGTCCGGCCGGTGAGCCTCTGCCCTGCCTGGCGCCGCGCACCCGCTGGGGAGGGGCGGCCCTTACCTTGGCCTCCGGGTCCGAGTCGCTGGAGTTGCTGCTGCTGCTGGTCGAGTCCGAGGAGCCATGGTGGCCGTGCTGGTTGGGGACGTGGCTGTGAGGCTGGGCCCCACCCAGCCCCCGCCCCCCAAGTTGGAAGCCCGAGGCCAGGCAGGGCCCTGGGATCAGAAGCAACTCGGACCCCCCAACCCCCGCGGGGTGTGCCTGGTGGTGCGGTGACTTACCCTCGGGCTACCAGCGGCCCCTGCCGCGGACGGGCCCTGAATTTTCGGGGGGCTCTGCTTGGGGTCGCCCACCTGGCCTGCTTCCGGATGCTTCTCAGAGGAGGGCTCCACGGCTGCGGAGAGAAGCCAAGCAGGGTGGGTCGGCGCAGGCGCAGGGGACGCTCCCTCGGAGGGGCCCTGGCCTTGGGGCTGGCCCCGTGCCCCTCAAGCCCCTCACTCCCCGGAGCGCACCTGCCGCCAGGTCGAACTCCATGGTGGCGGGCGTGGGTGTGGCCGGGGGCCCGGGAGCGGCGCGGGCCTGCCCGCCCCGGGAATTCCGAGAGCCGCGCCCGCCCTTTCTTTGTCCTCGGGCCTGACTCACGGCCCCGCCCCGCTTTCCCTCTGCCGGAGATGGGGAGGGCGGGCAGCTGCATCCGTCCAACCCCGTCCCCGGAGCCTTGGCTGGAGGGGAGGCGGGACCTGGGGGCAGCTGCAGATTTCTGGGGCGGGGGCTGCAGCTTCATGAGCTTCCCCAACGGGGGCAGACGCCAGCGTTTGAAGGAGTGAGCGAGGGCGCCTCGTCGCGCCCTCTGTGCCACGGTAATAATTCTAACGCGCCCGTGTACTTACTGTGTGCCCGGCGCGCTTCCAAGGGCTTCACCCCTATTAACTCACTTTAACGATCCCCCGGTGGCGGTGAGCAGCAGTGTCGGAAGGGGTGAGCAGCGCGAACTCGCAACCAGCTGCCGAATCTGCAGCCCAGCTGTCTCCCCTAGCAGCCAGAACCTCTGGGGAAAGTTGCTCGCCTCTCTGTGCCTCAGTTTCCTCGCCTGTAAATGACAGCTGCCCTATGGAGTTGACGTGACTATCAAATGGATTCTTTTCCTGGAACTGCCTGGCACAGAGTAAGGGCTTATGAAATAATACTCTGGGTGTTTTTAAAGGTAAGTATCGCTACTGTCCTACTTTACGGGTGAGAAAACCGAGGGGCAAGTTAATTAAGATGAGGAGGGGCGTGTAGAGCAGTACACAGGCTGGAACTGGGATTCGAACCCAGTCAGTGCCCGGAGTCCAAGGCTCTGGCCGGCGGAGGGCGCTCTGCGGAAGGGGCTGCCAGCGAGCCCAGCCTTGCTCAGCCTGGGGGCGGCTCCCGTCGCCGTGAGGCTGGGCGTCCTCCCCAGCGTAGCCCAGCCCCGCCCTCAGCCCTGGGCTGCCCATCCTGCAGGAGTGGGAGGGGGCTGAGGCCTGGGCGTGGTGACTCAGTGCAGTGGTCAGCCTTGTGCCCCCAGGGCTCCGCTCCTTAGAGGAGCCTGTCCCGACAACCCGCTCCCCAGAGCCGCTCACTCCACCACCTGCCCCTGTGGGATGGCGGGCGCAGCCCTCCCTTACCACTGTCTGCAGGCATCTTTACCCTCACCCGTTCCCGCCCCCGTCTGTCTGTCGAGTACCCTCTGCGTCCAGCACAGTTCAAGTGCAGGGCCTACGGAGGGAACAAAACCAGCAAACATTCCAGCCTCGTGGAACTGACTTTCTAGTGCGGGAATCGAGGTGAAATGCACAGTATGTTAGAAAAAAGCGGGAAACTAAAATGTCCCAGCAGTTGGTGAACAAACGTGGTCATCTATGCAGTGGAAAACTATTGAACAATAGACAGGAAGGGACTCCTGACATAGGCCACATCACGGATGAACCTCAGAACCCTTGTGCTGGGTGAAGGAAGCCAGACACGGCGGCTTACACACTGCTGTATGACCTCATTCGCATGGAGCGCTGGGAGAAGGCAGCTACGGAGACAGACAGGAGATGAGCGCTTGCTGGACGCTGAGTGGGGGGTGCGGGTTAACTATAAATGGGCATGAGGGGGCTCACTGGGGGATGGAAACGTTCTAAAACTGCTTTATGGTGACAACCACGCCACTTGGTAAAGTGATTAAAAAACACTGAATTGTCCACTTGTGGGTGAGTTGCATGTAACATATTCAAAAAAACCTTTTTTTTTTTAAAATTTTTATTCTTTCAAAGATTGGCACCTGAGCTAACATCTGTTGCCAATCTTCTTTTTTTTCTTCCTCCTTCTTCTCCCCAAAGCCCGCCAGTACATAGTTCTATATCGTCTAGCTGTGAGTGCCTCTGGCTGTGCTATGTGGGACGCCGCCTCAGCATGGCCTGATGAGCAGTGCCACATCCATGCCCAGGATCCGAACCAGTGAAGCCCTGGGCTGCTGAAGCGGAGCGCGTGAGCTTAACCATTCGGCCACAGTGCCGGCCCCAAAAGCTATTTTTTAAAAAAGAGATATATGCTACGAAGAAAAACACAGCAAGAAAGGGGACTAGGTAATAACTCTGTGGTATGTTGGGGAGGGGCTGGAGTTTGAAATGAGTAACCAGGGAAAGCCTCACTGGAGCCTTTTGAGTGAAGATCTGAAGATGAGAAGACAAGCCACGCAGGCATGTGGAGGAACAGTACTCTGGGCGGAGGGAATGGCAAGTGCAAAGGCCCTGGGGCAGGGCCTACCTGTGTGTCTGAGGAACTGAAGGAGATCAGAGTGGCAGAGAGAATCTAAGGAAAGAAGCAGGAGATGAGGAGGGGTGGGGAGAAGGGGTCGTGTAAATCAGAGATCTTTGGTGGTCTTCCCTCTGAGTGAGGAGAGGTAAGTGATGATTGTGGCTTTGCCCACAGCTGGATGCAGGATATAAGAGAAAGTGTCGGTCTCTCCTGGCAGAACACAAATTCCATGAGGGTGGGCCCTCGTCTGCTTTGCTCAGCACCCAGAACAGTGTGACTCAGAGTTGGTGCTTGCCATCATTTGGTGGATGAGGTCCCGATGCCAGGCACAGCTGACGGCAGGCTGGAGCGGGCAGAGAGTGGCTACGGGTCTGGGTTCTGTGGTTAGCCTGCTCATAGGTGACTCCTCGCTCCTCCCCTTACTGTTCTGGGGACAAAGAAGGTAGCCACTGTGGGCCTCAGGTGCGTCCTCTGTACAATGGAGAACATAAGGTAAACGGTTTCGTGCAGAGCCTGCCTGGCACCAGGTACATAGATGCTCATGAAATGTTAGTTTTTATTATCATTCAGAAACACAATCTCCTAATTCCTCCTGGAAGTGCCAGTGGGATCCCTGTGTTATATACGAGGCGGTGAAGCCTCAAAAAGGTGCACTTTCACACCCAAGGATGCTGGTCGTGGAGCAGCAGTGCGACACCTTCCAGAACCCAGATAAAGCGCTCTTACTACTGTGCTCAAATTGGGGGAGTGGGGGTGGGGCCAGGGAGACCACGCCTGGTCCTCCAGACTCCTCTCTGTTCCCTCCTGGATTACAGTCAGGAGGTGGCAGCTTTTACAGAGACCTGAACGAACGACAGAAGCTTAACAAGACAGCTCCCTTTTTGCTCCCTCGAAGCCCTGAGCTGGCGCGAGTCCGGGGCTGGGTGGGTGTGCTGCGAGGCCAACCAGGGACAGGGGCTCCTTCTGTCTAGTTGCTCCGCATCCAGGATGTTGCCCTTGGATGTACGGGGAGGCTGGCCCTACATTAGGCGCTGGGGAGGGGAAGGGGAAGAGGAGGGCACACCACTTCCTTTTCAGGACCCCACCTGGAGGCAGCGCACATCCCTTCGGCCAGGATTCAGCCCCATGACCTCATCCGGCTGCAGGGGAGGCTGGGAACTGTAGTTCCCAGCTGGGCAGCCACACACCCAGGGAAAACCCGGGGACCTCTTACTGAACAGAAGCAGGAAAATGGCCATGGGGGCCTGTCCGTCACTACTCCCTGTTGGTGGCAGTGAGTGTCCCTTGCTCCCCTGCTCTGCCCGGCCTAGAAGGTTTACAAATGGAGGCCAGATGACAGCTGGGAAGGTGGACACAAATGCTTGCATGAAAACCTAGGCGTGGGGTCCTAAGACGAGCGCACGTCCATCCTTCGGCTCTTGGGGAAGTGTTAGTTCCCTGCCGTTCGGTGCTCATCTGCCATGGCTCATGGCAGCAGGCACAGTAGCCTATGTCCATGCTCCCCAGGCCCTGCCTGCCCCTGGCATCTAATGGCTCTGCCGTCCCCTGCTTGTTTCCTTATTTCTGCCCACAATGACTTGGTCCTGAGGGTTTAAGCAACGCCTTCTCCTTTGTAGGAGAAAGGGACCGTGCTCCCAACTGGCCTGCAGGGCTGGCGTAATTCCCTGCCGCGTCAGCTCACCCTTTCTCCCATTGCCCCAGGAGACCTTCAGAGGGCCACTCCGCCTCTGCAGTGTTTACCTAATCACTCCAATTTAGGAAGAGATTTCTGGATGTCAACTTGAGTGGCCAGGGAAGCCAAGATGGACCGAGGAGCGGACTGTGAGGGAGCCAGGCTTCCGTGGGGTCCCGCGCTCCCACACCTCTGAGGACTGCCTTGGCTGACTGGAAGAGCAACCGCGACCAGGCCTGGTCTAGTGTCTTTCCTGAAGTTCACGTGAACAGAGTCCCGGTCGATAAACATCGTAATCCCTGCTCTGGAATGTTTTCTTTAAACTTAACCACAACCCCGAGATGCATGACCTTAAGCACACAGTATGCAGGGACTCAGTTTCCTTTCCCACAAGACAAAACCACTGTGCTGGCCCTGGACGTTCTGGAATTATAATCAGAAAGGCTTGGTGGGCCATCCGTTGGGAGGTGCCCAAGGGCCGACAGCCCAGCCGGGGAATCCCGAGCTTGGCCCCCACCCAGCTGACTGTTGGGTTCGGGACTTGATTTTATTCTATCTGCGAGTTAATATATTAGCCTGTAACTGTTCCCAAAATGCTGGCAGAAGCCTTGAGACTGACTCCTGGGTCAGAGACACAAGGCTTTCTTCTCCCAGCAAGCGGCATAAGCATCAGCACATGTGTTGGTTTCCCCTCCCCGCCACCCCCGGGGGGTAAAGCGGAGGCTCCAGATGAACCCTGCACATGTGGTGGCTTGCGTTACAAGAGAGGGACACCGAGCTTGGGCAGCTGGCACTCCAGAGCCAGCAGAAGGCAAGCCTGCCCGTCGTCCCAGAGGCAGCCATTCCCTCATCCCTCAAGGTGCTCGCTGCCAAGCCGGCCCTGGGAAACGGGCCAGCGGTCTGGGTGGGCGTTCTCGGCGCATCCAGCAAGGCCTGCAGCAGCACGAGACCCCCACGGAGGACTGCCTCCCAGCCCTCTTGGCTTCTGGTGAATCTTCGTGAGTAGGCCATCTGTCAGCCACTCTGATTAACCAAATCCGGTCAGTTTGTCTCTTAGCAAAGCCACTGTCAACAGGGCTCCAAGCAGCAGAGTCCTGTTGACGTGAGGCCAACCTGCTGTCCAGGGCCCGGGCTCACACAGCTGCAAAGGAGCAGGGTGTATTTCAGACGGCCAGGATGCAAGCGAAGACTAACCAGTCCATCATCTACCAGGACTCACACACGGGAGTTCAGACTGAGTT